AATTATTCTAAACTTTTAGTTTTTCTGATCATTATGTTTTTTCTCACATTTTCTGACTTTGTAGAAGAAAAAAATAACAAAAACTGTACAAATAAACAGAGAAAAGCACAATGTGGACCAAATAATTCAAAAAGGAAATTTAACAAGAAGATCTGAGAGATTCTTTTGAACAAAAAAGTTCAAATGTAAGAAATTTGTCAGAGGACAAACGACTCTGTTCATAACTACTAACTTTATAACTACCTTTCTTGACAGCTTTGAGTTTCATGGAGACAACATCAGATCCAGCGTTGGGTTCGCTCATGGCCAGCGCTCCAACGTGTTCACCTGTCAGTAACTACCAAAAACAAGATAAGATGGAAAAAAATCAACTTCATGCTTTAAAATGATAATTTTCCTCTTTCACACAGTGCAGCCCTGACCTTTGGCATGTACTTCTCCTTCTGCTTCGGGTTGGCGTGACGCACCATCTGGTTGACGCAGAGGTTGGAGTGGGCGCCATAACTGAGAGCGATGGCTGCAGACACCCGAGACATTTCCTCCATCACGATGACGTGGTCCAGGTAGCCCAATCCCGTTCCCCCGTCTTCCACTGACCGGAGCAAACGACAGATTCATTCAGTCACACTTAAATGTTTCAGATTGGGGAATTAATTAGCAATTAATGGTTTATTAGATTAAATTTAGTACCAATCGATTAATAAAGTCCAATTACTCTTTTAGTGTTTAGTTTGGCTGCCATCCAGCAGAGGGCGCCACTCGCCATTCTTAAGCAGAGTTGATACAGAAACAAAGATGGCAGCGATGTTCCAGAACGGTTCAAACAAAGTTAGTTTTGACTTATTTCAAGTTTACTGAGATATTTGCACAAGAAATTAGACCAATAACATGATAGGTAAGATTTTGTGTTTTTTCAGTGTATATTTTAACACTGGAAAAATAGCTAATACTAAAGATTTTCCACCAAATGTGAGACAGTCTTTGTGTTTTTTTGTGGTTGTAATTTTTTAACTCTAGCATGGAAGCTATATTTTTCTTAATTTAATCATAAACTTCGACCTTAAAAAAGACAAGTGACGCCTTAAGAGCTTTTGATGTTGGTCTGGATTATTCTGTATACTGTACATTGTTGGTAGTTTGGTCAAATCTGAAAAGTTTCATCACTGTTCCATGTTTTTCTCCATTTGAAATGAAAATGCTTACACAGCACTGCATGGTTCAAGCTAGAAAATAAACCTGTAAAAAAAAAACAAACTAAACACTTTTGCTTCATAGTTATACCTGGAGCAGTAATGCCCAGCAGTCCCATCTCCCCCATTGCTTTCCAGTAATCCTGGTTAAAAAACAACAACATTCCTTTCATTACCCAGAGTTTATTTTTACTGGACATATCCTCAAATGGTTTGGTATTAACCATGTTTAATTAAACACTAATGTATGAGTTATCTATAAGCAAATCATTCACTGAGTGTGTTTCAACTCACCCGCATTCCTGGGAACTCATTTTTCTTGTCAATCTCATCAGCATAAGGTGCAAGTTTCTCTGCACAGAATTTACGAACGGTGTGCCGAAGCTGTGGAAAAAACCACAACAAAAAAACAGAGATGCATAATATTAATGTCGTCAATATAATATCTACTTGGATCAAATGTTTGATAGACCGTTATATTAAAAATGTTCTAAAAAGTGTAAACTTCTTTAAAAAGTACTGTAGATAAAATGATTGGTTCTCATGTTGTAAAACATTATTTTTGTGTGTATGTATTTAAATATATATATGTGCAGAGATGGACAATAAATCAATAATATGCATCTAAAAACACGTGATCAATAAGAATACATATATCTGCTAGAATATTCAATAAATTCACTGAATTCAACTTCATGGCTTCAACTAACTCACTCACTCTGGTTGTCTAGCAACATCCTGCTGGGTAACAGTTTTAAGTTCAAGTGTTTTTTTGTTACAAAATCCAAGATTATTGGTTTTTGAGAGTGTGAACTTGCATTATTATTCCATTATTAACATTTATGACAGATTCAAGAACCCCAGAACTGATCGTTTAAGCTTCCTGATCGAAGACAAAATACGTCAGCAATCCCAGAGGACAATAAATAAAAGTGACCCACAGATGGATCTGTGACGAACTGGACAAAGGCTCATGGGTGGCCTCATCTGGTGGATGCAGCCCAATGCAACAGATGATGTGGGGGGGAGGCATCATGACAATACATTGGTATTTATACAAGAAGCAGGTTCTGAAAAACACGTCAGATCCATATGAGAACTTCTAGTACCTAACAGGACCATCACCAATCCAATGGATCCAATAGAATCAGCAAAGAGGAAATGAACCCACTGAGAAACAGGTGGTCATAATGTTATGCTGGTATTAAATTACGAGGAAGAACCTTTTGTCCAATCAAACAGCCAACATGAGACCCACCTCCTCCTCCATTTGTCGGTTCTTATATAAAATACCAGTGAAACTGCTGCAGAAGCTTAACAATAAAAACAGATTGATTTATGAATCTGAAAGTTTACAAACAGTCACTGTCGCAGTAAATTAGCTTTAAATCAAAAGTTTAGCCATAAAAACTGATTGTTGCAGAAATGGTGTGTTTTCATGTTTACGGAAGTGTTTAGTCATAACTTACCCGAGTCAATAAACACCAATATTTATGTTTTGTTTATGTATCCATGCCAGTTAGCTAATGTTACGTCATCACGCCATGTCAGTTACGACCTTCCACCTACATCTTCTGAGTGGAAAAAAGCTCTCACGTTTGGTGCACAATAATCATCGTTTCCACATGATTATTGTGAATTTTTTACAGCTGTTGTTCCTGTCTGCACCCCAGGTTAACCTGTGATGCTAGCAGCAGCTAGCTAACCTGTATCTGCTCCTCCGTCAGTCCGTTCACCACGTCATCCACCTGGATAGCAGCACCGGAACATCCCCTCCGCGCCGCACTGGGGACGGATAACCTGGAGCCGAGGCGGACAGCGTTTCTGACCGCAAACATGACGCTGCTGGCCGGTGAAAACAAAAAGCTGGGCTTCAGGTGTGTTGGTGGGACTGTCCTCTTGTCGCAGGGCAAAGAAGAGGTCTCACTCTGATATCAATTCGAAGGAAAGACGAGGTCTCACTCTGACGGAATTTCACAGTACCGTTAGAGTTGAAGCATCCACCATTTTGTGTGTGGCAAGCTTCCAGCTTGCCCAGCTTTATTTTTCAATGAAATAAACTTTACGATCAACTTTAATCATCCTTATTTATTTATTTTTGCATAAATAAGATATATTAATTTTAGTATTCAAAATGTTTGAAAGTTTTCTATATAATGCATTTAAAAATGATAAAACACATGAGATAAGGAAATTGTGTCGAATTAAAGTATTATTTTTTAGTTTAATAACAGGACCCTGATTAATATATCAACGCTAACTATGAGATAAAAAACCACTCAATTATATGTAGACATAGCATAATCAATATACAATTTGTAACATACTAAAAGCTAGTTATTATATAAGAAGTGCTTAATTTGCTGTAAAACCTAGAAAAGTGCTTCAGTTCATAATACAAATGACGTATCATATGCCACTAACAACATGGCGGTGACATTGACGTACGACATAGAACACGCGTTTGACGTCAACTATTTTTCTTCTATGAATTTTCGTCAGTGAAACTTCTATTCTCCTTTTAGATGTCAGCACCATCTGTTGGTGAAAGCTGGTAAAGCAATGCATTTCAAAACATCAAAATGCATTATTTATTAAAATTTCAACGCTAAATTCACATATAGTTCCGCTGAAGCTTAAATGTGTTTCTATTTAATATTATAGCGTTAAATTGTGTGTGGCTGCATTTTTTTACTGGAATATTTTCTGCACAGCTGAACCTCATGGAACAAACAAGACATTTGAAGCATTTAATTAAATCTGCTTATTTGCTTAAATCAGATCAGTGAGCTTTTGGTGTTTTAAAATGGCTGTATTTAATAAGAAGGTTTTATTAAATACAGTTTACATTCCTTTTCAGCTCCTTTTTGTTTCAGAAATCATTTGATTATGTAGCTGTTGAGGATTAATATAAGGAAATATGGTGTTTAAATAAATGTTTTTGTGGATTACAATGTGTTCCCAGTTTAACTCCAGGTTTTATTGACATGGAAGAAAATAGATTTCTATGTTTACTTTACTGTGAAACAGCAACCAAAAATTGGTTTCCATATAAAGCTGTTTTGGTTACACAAATGTCCATTTCTTTAAATATAAAATTTCAATATATTTTTAATCCTTCAGTCGTCCTTGGTAGGCGTCCATCTTGGATTATGAGGATGAAACTTGTCTGAAAAGTTACTTGTAAATTAATTTGGTCTTATTATAAGTTTACTAAGATATTTATCGTAAACACTAGACTAAAATTATTTGGTAATAGTTTGTGTGTTTGCAGAGTAGCACTACTTAAGTAGAAAAGTATTTGGTAAAAAGGTGACTCAGGTATAACTGATCAAATCATCACTGCCACCATCATCTCTTGGTATTTTTCCTGATCAGTTTCTGTATTTTCTCCATTTTTAGAGGAACATCCAATTTATTTAATGTCACTGATGTTTTGAACCCTTTATATCTTTGCAGACGATGCTAAATGATGCATATATGCAAATTGTTTGTCAGCTGAACTCAGTTTCATCAGTTTGATGTGCAAACAAGAGGACTAAATGTTAAAGCTGGAGCCAACTTCCCTAAAACAATGTGACTATATGCTCACAGATTATGCATGCAGAATAAATGTTTAATTTGGCTGGAAAATGTTTGAAAGTGATTAAAAACTCGACAATTTGACGTCTGAGATCCAGTGCAAAATGCAGCAGAAGGAGTTGAGTTTTTTGAGCCTGAAACTGTCAGCAGCTCTAAACTGTTCAGTCAGGAAGCGAGAGCGGCAATGCGGAAGATAATAAACAGCGCAGTGTGTGTGAGCGTGTGTGTGTGTCAAACCGCGCAGAAGGGCGAGCCGCGCCACTAAAGAGGGGTTCCCCTTACCGACAGAGTCAAAGAGCGCACAGGCTGCCAGAGGCGTTTCCCAGCTCAGAGCAGCCAGCGGAGACCCGGGGAGGATCTGGAGACTCCGTGGGAACTCCGTGGGAACTCTCTCACAGTGAAATGACCAGATTTGGAGGCTGAGCCGAAGCGGAGTTTCGGTTCTCGTCGCTGCGCCTCTACGGCCAGATCTCAAATGCCTAAAGAGTGCCGGAGAAAGTCCTCCAAGGACTTCGGGTTTTCTGGGACTGGGATAAGCGATGGAGGCCGTGTAGAGAGAAGGACGACCGGGAGGTCTCCACAGGTCTGCGCGGAGCACATCCAGAAAGCCGCAAGCGTCGCCGCGCCGCCCGCCGCGCCGGCGCTCATGGATGCGCCCCCGGTGCCGCAGGTCACCATCACTTCGGATGCAGGCGGCGCCTCCAGGGAGATCCAGGAGGAAGACCTGGATGCGGCTGTGGACGGAACCCTGCGCAGGAAGCTGTCCAACTCGTCCATCTCCTCCACCGGATCCTCGGCGGTGGAGTCTGAGGATGATCTGCTGAGCGACACCGAGACCCAGAGCAAAGGCCTGGTCACTCTGGAGCACCTGGTGTTAGCAGAGGTGAGCGAGGTGAGAAGCCTCTTTGGTTTTTACCCCGCAGGTATCTTCAGAGGGGCCAAAAACTGAACGCTAGTAAGAGTAGCGCCGCAAAAATACAAAAGTTTTTGCTCCAGTTTCTAGTTCAAATATCTCGGTAGGCTTGAAAATTAACTTACAAGTAACTTTTCAGCAAGTATGAGCAGAAAAACTTAATATTAATGAAAACGTGTTGGATATGTTGGCAGATTATTTCACTTGCACAATTGGAAAAATGCTTTGTTCAAAGTGAAATAAAGTTTTCAAAAAGCAGAGTAAGCGTTAAATATCAAGGATCAGAGCTTTTTGAACAAATGAACCACAGCAGAGGCTTTCTGCTTCATTTTGCTCTCAAAATTATTATATTTTCTTTCTTCTGCTTCTGTTCACTGCAAAAACACAAAATCTTACTTTTAGTTTCTATCTTAGTACATTTGAAATAAGAATGAGAAACTAAGCAGAAATAGTTGGTAAGATTTTGTATGTCTGCAGTAGCAGCACTTCAACATATTTGTATTCAAAGAAAAGTAAAAAGTAGCTAAATTACTCAAGTTGTGTGGAAACTTTGGTGTTAAAAATAAAAGAAAATCAGGCAAATCAAGCAGTTTTCCAAATCATTTTCTTTCCATTTAAGGTGAATAAAATGTGTAAATATTTGATTGAAACCATCTCAGATTATAGACCGTGATCTATACAGCAAGGAATAAAAAGTAACATTTACTGTCGTAAATAAGCAATAGTGCAAATATTTTGGGATTTTATCACAAAATCCCAGAGGAACTGAAAAGATGTTCACTAATATTATTTAATTTCAGGAATTCATTGATATTCTAAGTTTGTGAACAGGTTTCATCGACACATTCTGGCACACCGGCCCTTTAAGAGCCTCCATGGGCTGATTTGGCTTGGCTCTCTTTCCTTCAGCTGCAATGAAACTTAGTTTAGCCAACAATGATGTAATCTTGTGAGATAAAATGCATAATTTCCTGCCTTTGAAAACATTTCATTATTGTTGATATGAAACCTTCCTGTAACTGATGTGGAGATTCTCACATGAGGTCAAACAGTTAGGATGAAATAACTTCACAAATCATGTTTGTGACCATCAGAGAGGAAGAACTCTGTTAACTGGATTATCTTAGAATAATTTTAAAATACTTGTTGAATTATAAGACACAGTTTCTCTCTCTTTACTGATATGCTGCACTTCAAAAACATGCAATCTTACCAAGTATAATTGTATTACACATGAAATAAGACACTACTAACTTAAAAGTAACTTTTCAGCATAGTATAGGAGCTTGTTTTAAGTAAGTATTTCATTAATATTGCTGGAATATTTCTAGTTCCACCAATTATTCCACTAATAACATGTGAAAAACGTGTTGCTGCCAATGGGACATGTAATTTATTTACTTAAATTAAGCTCCAACATCTTAGCAAAAAGTCAGTTTTGTCTTTGTTTCAACTGAATAAGGCATTTGCACCAGAAACTAGACCAAAATACTCGGTAAGAGTCTGTTTTTGTTGTGAAAGCTTTCACACTTTGGCATATTGTCACCATTGAGGGGAAAAAAGGAAAAAAAAACTTTTCTTGAAGAAACTTGGAAAGTTTCAAAATCTGAAGATTTTCTATTTCTGTAAGTTTCAGAGATTAATCTCAACATTTCTGAGATTTTTTTCTAGAAAATCTCTGATCTTTGAAGTAAATACAAAGCCAGTTGTCATTACATTCATCACTGGCTCACTCTACCATGTTACGTGTATTTTGCACAAAAAAGCTCAGCACTGCTACATAAAATATGCAATTTTCTTTTGTGCATTTCTGTCTCAAAATCTTAAATTTTAGTTGATTGAAGAAGCAGAAACCCCGAATGATTTTTATGTTTTTAATCAACTTAATTCCCAGAAGAAGAGATTGTTAGTTTTGATCTCCAATGAATTATGCACAGCTGAGACAAAGAAGCAAGTCAGAATTTATTTAGGTTGCTAATAACCAGTTTTCAATAGGGGATTATTATTAAAGGTGATTTTCTATTCCTTCTTTAAAGCTTCTAAAAATGTGCTCAAAGAAACACACCCAATAAATCGATGTTTTTTGGTTTGTGGCACATGATCCGTTTCAGAAAACTCCTGAATGTGGCGTTACCTAGCAACACAAACAGAGCTCCAACACATTTGGTCAGTTGTTTTACCACTGAATGTACAGCAGCTGCTGGGAAATACATCCAAGAAGGATTTTGTGTGAAAAATGAAATGAACATAGATCAATCCTAACCTGTTTAAGGAAGAACGACATGTCACTTTAAAAACCAGCTGCAAATTCATCCCTTACATTGATGAAATGTCACCAATAAGCTGGTCTTTTGGTTACCACAACGTTGTTTAGTTGGCGGACATTAAAGGTCGTTTAAAATTGCAGATAGTCTGAGCTTTCCGTCTCAGGAAGGAGCGGGTTTTTAGAGCAGAAGCAGCTCTTAAACGTCAGCCAGCAACGCGTTTCCTGACAGGAGACCTCTGGGAATTACTGCAGACAAGACACAACTACCCGGCGATAACAGATTTCCCTTTAAACCGTTCAGTTCATCTTCCAGTGGCGTTAACTGATAAGTTCAATTCACAGCAAGCACTTCTCATGGGGATGAGTCATTTTGGCAGCTCAGGAGTTATTTTGGGAGCTTTTGAATGAGATGGGCTCTGGAAGATTTCACATAAGATTATGTTCCCGTCACACAAGTGTTGGGTTTTTCTCTCACTTTCAGAGCAATTTCTCAAATAAGAAAAAAAGGAAAACCTGTTTTATACGCTTAGAGAGCTTGTCAGAAGAAGGATGATACCCAGAACATCTGATTCTCCCCCCTGAAATAATATTACAACGTTTTTTAACATCTTCACAACATTTTAAATCTTTACTGGTTCTAAGTTTATGTGTAAAATTAGATGTTAACTTTACTGCATTTTAATCAGATTTTGTCTGACTAACAGAAAGTAGCACCATCATCACCACCTGTTTGAACCATGACACACGTCTGCATGAAATGCAAATATAACGGGTTACGAAATCATGTGTCATTTTGCTTTTACATTTAATTTGAGGATATTTTGACTCATATTTCCAATGCTTTTCTTGACTTATCCTCTGGTGTGAGATGAGTTCACATTAAAAACTTTCCATTACAACATTACTTACAAACGTGCGTTTATTTTCTGTCATTATTGCTGATAACTTTCTGTCTGATGAAACTCAGCTCTGCAGGAGAAGCTTAAAGGTGTGGCAGAAAAGTATTTTCCCCTTTATTCCTTCTAAGTACATGAAACTCCTTCAAATATTTTTAATTATTAAAAATCCAGCAATCTACCTGAAATAGATTGCTGATGGGTTAAACGCGTTGCAATCAGAATAAATTTGATAACGAATAACAAATCCATTTGCTGATCTAGAAGTTTCTGCTGAGGGTGAGCAGTACGCACTCAAAGTTTTATCATGATATTTTGTTCTACAGTTGTGATAACAGTAAAAGTTATTTATTACTTCTTTTGTAGATAACGAGACATTTTTCCCGTAGTATAAGTGAAATAATCCAGTTGAAGTAGTACTTTTTTATGAGTATTAAGGCTTAAAACAAGCTCATAATTCTTGCTGAAAAATTGCTTGTGTTAGTTTTGTGTTATTTCAATTTCATTGAGGTATTTTCACTATAAAATATGCTAAAAATACCTTTTGTGTTTTTGCAGTGTAATTGGTAAAACCATAACTTTACCAACGGAGCGTCCTGAAGTACAACGTAACATTTCACTCGACTTTATTCTCAACTAAAAACAACTCAAGCGCTTGAAAACAAAACAAAACAAACATCCCTCTGTGTTTTTGCAAAAAGTTGATGTTTTTTTGGTGTCTGGAAAAATGATCCGTTTCAAACCTCCTGATTGTTGCGGCGCTACCCAGCAACCCCAACTGAGCCCGGTCCCATTACCTATCAACTCAAGAAGAACCCCAGTACATTTGATTGGTTAGTTTTACCAATGTATGCGTTGTACAATGGCTGCTGGAAAAGACCACCGAGCCATTTTTTTGGGCAATAAGTTGATGTTTTTTGCTGACTGAAAAGTGAGTCACTTCAAAAACCTCCCAAATGTTGAGTCACAAACAACAGGCGCTGCGCTGTTACCGAGCAACAGTATTCGCTGTACAATGGCTGCTGGGAAAGACAAATGTGTCGTTGTTGACTCACCATCCAGAAACCACTCGCTGTTTTCTTGTTGGTTGTGCAGGAGGCTCTACTAATGCTTTTCAAAGATATACGGTTGTATAAGTGCGTGTCTGTTTGCAGTCATTTTTATGTGTCAGTGTAAACATTGAGTTGGGGGGTGTGGCCAGCTGGAGCTTGTTTGGATTTAAAGCCTTAAAACAGCTGAACTGAGCAGACCGGAATCTCATTATCCCAGAATGATTTTGTGTAAAAAATTTAATTAGCATGTTTTGTATAGACTAGAGACCTAACCTAACTTGTTCAAGGTATGATCTGTAGAAAGACAAAATCAAATTCTGGTGGCTTAGTCAAAGCAAGAACTTAAACTCAACTGAAATGCCATGGTGGCGTGACCTCTGAACTAATTATTCATGCTCTAAAACCCTCCAATGTGGGTGAATTTAGACAATTCTGCCATGCAGAGTGGGTCAAAACTCCTCCGCAGACCCTTTGAAAGCCCAACCAGTCAGTGGTGGTGACTGGTTTAATTGTGACACATTTAATTGTGACAAGAAAGCAAAAGCAGAAGAAAGATTTAAGGAGCTGACAGTGCGGAGCCTCGTTCTGTGTAAGCTGTAGGGAAGTTGAGCATAATCACAGTGAGTCACCTGCAGGTTTCTGCACCATCAGACCGATTCTGCCACAAGGCCCACCACTTCTCCATGCTGGAGCCGACGCCGTTTAAACGCTCGCAACAGGCACACTGTAAAACATTTTGTTGTGTCTGCCGTCTTCTGCTCTTTAAGTCAAGTAAGAGATAGATTTAGTTTCAGATTTAGAGCCTAAATGTGTTTAAAAGAAAAACTTACAGCAGAAAGTTGTGTTAACTTTTTATTCATCAAACTAGAGTTTTCAGGTCAGCACTTAAAAACCTGAAAGAAGAAAAAGTGGGAACTATTTCCCAGAATGCTTAGCGGCGTGTTTTTGCATCCTCAGATGATTCGAGCCGACTCGTTTTTATTTTTATGTCCTGTTCACACTAAACGTTTCATTATCAGATCAGAAAGTTTGTCTGAAGTGATTCTAAGGTAAAATTTGCTCATATGTTTTTAAATTAAACTAATTTCTACAGTTATAACACAATAAAAGGTTTGAAGGGTGAGAATTTTAAAGCACTATATGTTCAGATGACACAATATGAAACAAATTAACAGCAGGCCTTGTTTTAACGAGGTCATAAATTGTTTCTTTGTCACGTTCAGCCTTCGGATGGTTGCGGCTTGTGCTCATAAAATCCCTCTGTAACAAACTGTAGCAACTCAAATCGGTGTGAGAGTAAATCATCTGTTAAATCTGCTTTGGGAACTTTGACTTTATCACATGGCTTTCTGCCCTTCTGCTGATTTGTGGATTTTGACGCTGCTTTATTTTAAAGCGTGAGGCGTGCTGTAACTGTTACCGTAGCAACCACACGCAGACTGTAGCCAAACTTTCAGCCTGACGGCGAAAATTAATACGCCAGAAACCCGTTCCTGAGCGAATCGCCCCGCAGCCGACCTGCTTTCTGCTTCTCTGAAAACGTCTTTGATTTGACGGTTCGACGCAGCCGGAGCGTCAATGAGACAAAGGCTACAGCGGAGTCTGTCAAGCGTCTGACTTCCTGAAGCGGCTCTTTGTTAAATGTCAAAGGCCAAGACTAAAACTGGAAACCGACCGCAAAAGAAAACATGATTACACAAGAACATGTGAGCATGTTCATGCTCTGTGTGGGTTTTTGTTGTTTTGTTTGCTTGTTTTCCATCAGAGCATCAAGGTGCGTATTTTGACACGACCGTCTTGTTTCCTTTCCAACTTGGATTTTGTTCAATGAGAGAGAAATGAGAGGTCGGCCTGCGCAGCGTCTGCTAAACGCCGCGCCTGTCAGGGGACATTGTGTTCTGCACTGTAAGACATTTGAAGCTGCTTTTACTTGAAAATGAAAGTTCATCTGCTGCCTGGAAAATGCAATTTAAGTCAACAAGACAATTGTTTTGGTCTTAACTCAGAAATTAAAGTTCATAAAGTTGATTTAACAACAGGAAACAAGTTGTCTAAACATTGTTTTGTAAGTTCATTAATCCTGATCTGTCACTTTAAATCGAATAATTATTTCACATCATGCAAGAAAAACCTGCCTCCACTCAGTTAAAGAGCCACATTTCTCTATTGTTTCGCTCACAACATTAAGTTAAAGTAACATAATTTGTTTATCTTCAGTAAACAAATGCAAAATAAGTTTGTCAGACTGACTAAAAATTTAGTTAGTTCAACTGACATCTTTCATCAATCCAAGTTAATACATTAATCTTTATCTTAGTTAAAATTAAGGTTATAATGTCAGATTACTGTCTTTTTTTTCAATTAACAAAATACAATCGTGGAATCAGAATAAAAAAATCATGTTAAGTCAATGATTTGTTTCTTTGAGTGTAGGGCTTCTAACGGTAATTTTAGTAACGGTTAATCGGATAAAAACTTTTATCCGATGTAAATTAGCTGAATGTAAATTAGCACATTTAGCTAATTTACATTAAAAACATTAAAAGATGCAAATAAACAACTTAATTTCTTTTTAAAATAAGGAAATACATTTTTTTTATTTCCTAGAATCCATTAGAAAACGCCTGATCAGTTGGAACAAAGGATGCATCTGCAGCTAAATAAAAACAGCTCAGCTCTTATTTACTTTATTTAGCTGATTAATAATTGGACAGTAAAAGTTGCCTAATTTGAACCAAGTGAAGCTAAAATTGAAACGATTAATTGGATAACTTATGATGAGTTGAAATAATCAGTCAGTAACTAAAGTTATTTATCAACATTAAAGCTGCACCAGACAGAAGCAACAGCAGCTCAGTAAATGTGAAAACCGGTCGCGTGAAAACATTGGCGAAAGTCTGCCGCCTTTGGCAGAGCGACGCCGTCAGAAAACAAGCAAGTGAAGCGAATCATCTGACATTTAGGAGAAACCCGGCTGCCGTCGTTCTGCTCTTACTGATGGCCATGCAGAGTGATGAAGTGTTGCCTCACCGCGATCACTGCCCCCGTTTCATTTCCTGTTTTACTCACAGAAAATGACCGCTCTGAAGCCCAGGGGACAGAAGAAACACTCCTCCATGACACACAATCTAGTTTCCAGATCATCGGCTTTATGGTTGATGAGCTTTTTTTTTTTTCTTTAGCGTAAACACAACATTTTACCAAGTATTTTTGGTCTAGTTTCTAGAACAAATATCTTCTGACACTTCAAAAAATACTAATACTACTGGCAGATTATTTAATTTATAACATGGAACAATATATTGTAATAAATGAAACAATCTGGCAAAACAAGTACTTTTTTGAATCAATATTAAGGATTTGTTGATTTGATACAAGCTCCTTTATCTGTCTGAAAAGTTACTTGTAAGTTAGTTTTGTCTTATTTCAAGTGTGCTAAAATATTTGCGCAAGAAACTAGAAAAGTAAGATTTTGTATTTTTGCAGTGTGCAACTAAAACATACGTACAATACTATCATTGTATGCTGGTATACAATAATAGCATTGAGTTATTGTACAATAATATGGTATTATACAATAGTATTGTACAATATTATTGATGTTCACAGTTCATTGATTAATTAGAAGTCCAAAGTGTCTTAGAGTCTCAAATTAGGAGTTATAGCATTTAAAGTTATCCAAACCGTTTTGTTATTTTTATATCCACAAATCTGGAATAAAATTCCAGAAACCAGCAGAAATATTGAGGCTGAGAGCCAACCTGCTTAGAGTTGGCTTTGATTCATAGTAACTGGAATAATAACTATATAACAACAACATATAACAATAACATATATTATGCATATTGCTAGACCTATCGCAATAAGCAGTAAACCAATTAATCACATAATAAATAAAACAAATTCAAAAATTTTTATTCTTTTTCCCTGATTGGTGATTTGGTCTCAACCATCTCCTTTTATTTGCAGAGACTCCATAATTAATTTTATTTGTTGTTTTGTTTATTTATTTTAGATATTTAAAGAGTTTTTCAGTTCTAGTGTTATCTGATAACAAGAAATTAATTGGAGTTTATTGATCTTTGAGAATGTGTTCTTGTATTATTATTACCATTATATTACTTTAAAATTGTCTCCAAAAAACAATATTGTCATTTATCTGGGATAATTTATCATCCAGAAACATTTGTTTTTATGACAAGCCTATATATTGCTTGCTTGACGATTTTGATAGTATCTAATAAAATGTAATTTTTAATCGCTTGTTTCACAGTTGATGCTTTCTAATGTGAAGCACTTTGAACGGCCTTTGTTGCTGAAATACACTATACAAATAAACTTGACTTAAGCTCATGCTACATTTGCTAAAGGTGGAGAACTCTGCGTTTGTGATGATAAAAAGGAACGAGCCCAGCAGGCCACACTGGAGATGCTGAACACAGATAGGAGTTTCCACAGAAATGGCATTTAGCTGACCCAGATTGGAAGCTTCGCATCGGGGAAAGCAGAAAGCCTGGCGTCAGATTGGCTGGCCGGTCCTGTCGATGTGATCAGATTTCCATTCGGATGCTGCAAAAATGGCCCAAAGCTGTTTCCAACCATTGTACACTGCCTGCAAAAACACAAAGTTTATTTGTTTTATATGTATATGGTGCAAATATCCTGCTACATTTGAAATAAGACCAAAACTAACTTACAAGTAACGTTTCTGCAAGATATAAGAGCTTGTTTCTTGTTTTATGTAAATAATTTCTGAGTATTGATGAAATAAGTACTAATAAGTACTAACTTCACTGGTAGATTATTCCACTTTTAACTTCTATTATTATTTCTTAAAACAGAAAAGTTACTTTTAAGTTAGTTTTGTCTTATTTCAAGTGTACTGAGATATTTGGACAAGAAACTAGAGCAAACATACTTGCCAAGGTTTTGTGTGTTTGCAGTGTTTTGCTTGATGTTGAAGAAATAACTCAGAATTTATCTTGACAACATTTTGAATTTTGTTTTCTATGTTTTCAACAGAGTAAAGCTTGGAAGAAGCTGAAGACGTACATCCGCTGGCCCTTGCAAGCTTCCCAAAAGAAGAAAGTAAACTGGGTCCAGCTAGCTGGGCATAAGGGTGATTATAATTTATTAAAAATCATTTTAAACGTTCCATTGAAAAAAATTTTGCAGCAATGATAAGATGCAAAAAGAAAACACCCATTTCATGCATCTCTAATGGAAATCCTCCTCTGTCACGCTAAGGAATATTTCCAGGATTCCACCTTTATTTACTTAGAATATCTGCCAAGAACAAGAGGAACATTAACCAAGCATTTCTCTTTTCTATTCTTCACAAGAAGTCAAAACAACCTGAAAGATGTTTCTCTAATGAAAATCCTTGAGCATGGAAGCAACACTTTGTTCACATTCCTCAGAATGAACTTGGTGTTTATGAGGAAGCTAAGCTACTGAAAGCAATAAAAAAGCTTTGGTGAAAATGGAGTCATCTGTTATGGATGACAGAAAGTAAGCTTGTTGCTTTCCTTCATGGTCTGCTTGTCTCAGCCTTGCAACATGTTTCAGGAATTCACATTCATCTCTATTCCAGCGATTGCATTTTTTCCATTACTATGCAGGTATGTGCTTTGTGTCTAACATGAAGATTAGATAACATCTTTATCTAATCTCAGGAAACTTCAAAGCTGCAGAAGAGGGCACCATTCTGAAAAAGCTATCAGAGAACGAGAAGAAGTGTTTCGAGGATCTACAAAATGACGCCCTGGCCCAGTTTGTGCCGCGCTACCAAGGAATCGTGGAAAACGACGGCGAGTTCTTTGTGCAGATGACCGACCTGCTGGCTGGCTTCAACCAGCCAAACGTGATGGACTGCAAAATGGGAGTGAGGTAAGAAACTAGGCCTTTCAATCTGCAAACACTGGCTTTTAATCATCAATTAATCGTCATTTTAAAGTGTAGATGAACAACAAAAGCAGAGATCGCCGACAGCACAAGCTGCCTGTCTCGTCTTGCCTCTTTAAGGGAACACCTGTTGTAACTGCAGGGTGTTTGCTTGGCTTCCTGCCACAGCAGGTGGAGGGCCTCACTGTTAGTCTGTACAACTCTACACATTCATATACGCATGAATGCATGCATTAATTCCTACATGCATGCCTTTTTTGCATGCACAGACATGCAGATGCATTTGCAGCCTCTGACCGGACAGATGAACGCTTCTGCACGTACCTGCAGCAAAGCTCGAGGCAGGCGAGCGACTGAGTACGTGCTGCAGCGTTACAAATGTCCATTACCGCACGCATGAACTATTTGTTTTACTTATCTTCCTCTGTGAGAGTTTGTCTGCACATCTTAGATGTTTATACACACGTTTGCACGCTCAGGGTGTCCCTGGAGACTCCCCTTTGTCAAAAACGTTCTCAACCACAAAGTTGCAAAACCACCAGCTTGCACAAACACACACTCAGGCTTTCACATAGCGAAGTGCTGTACACAGGAGTCTCCTCGTAGCTTCCTTCTTTAGCACAGAGGAAGTGGAGCTAGCAAACTGAAACTGAAATTCACATCTGTTTGCTCAGAGCTGTAAATATAAAGACAGCGAGTGCAAAACCTGTGACACTATGACTCCAAACACTGAAAATCATTTTTTATGTTGTAGGTTTCTGTCTTGCGTAAAGTGGCATCAACTGCAAAAACCTTTTGACTTTTTTGCAGCAAATGTAGAAATTAGGTCATTAAATGTCTCTGTAGAAATACAGGAAGCACAGCTCTGGTTGACCTTCCGAATTTATGTCACACTCAAAGTTTCACATCAACAGACAAATTTCAAAATCAGAAAAAAGATAACTTGAGTCATTAAAAGGTGACCACATCCAATTTAGGGGACATTTTGATGTCCTCTTTAGCAAAATATCCTGAAGGAGGATGTTTAGGCATTGGTTTGGCACCTTCAGCTCAAATGTTTTTGTGTGACAGAGGTTTTAAACAAAACAAAATAAAGGTTTGGAGTGGACTTAAATCTGATACTGTGGCATGACTTTAGACAGAACATTTGTCATTGAATCCCCAAAATAATCTAAACCGAAATTCTTCAACTGAGGTGTAAGATACTGATTTCTGTGTATGACAGTGTTAGATGCAGTTTGTCTGGATGCAGAAAAAGTCTTAAATTAATGTAACTAAAACTAAATGTAAGACGACCTCAAATACTTACATTTTAGCTTATTTTCTGGTATGTGTGGTTTTCTAACAGGGAAAATCTTGCAGACATTTTGCTAGCCGCTAGCTAGCTAGTTAGCATTTTGAACCTTTTGAAAATATTTGTCTGTTATTGGTTCTCACAAGTGCTGACATAAAATATGAAGTATTTTATGTTTCCACAATCTAAAATACTGAAATGTGATAAACAGGTAGACTTGACTGATTTATTGACATGCAGTTGAGAAACATAAACTGAAAACATTTCACATTTTATTTGCTCCGCTTTACAAACAGTATCATCTTCCACCCATTTACTACATTTATTGTTTTTTATGTCTTAAATTTAATTCAAGGTGGCATTAAGTTTTACTTGCTGAAACCTGCAGAAACTCTGTTGCTAGGTGTTGTCGCCTGTAAAGTCAGCACAACCTGTTTGAAGGATTGTTGCCTTTTCACAACTGGGCAGACTGGTTTGACATCCCAAACTACCATTTGGACAATTTGCAGGTTATTTTGGTCCATAAGTAATTTTTTGTGATGACAGCTGAATTTTATTCTGTGACTTTTTCACCTGGTGTTGAAGGACGTACCTGGAGGAGGAGCTCGTCCGGGCGAGAGAGCGGCCCAAGCTTCGGGAGGACCTGTACAAGAAGATGATAGAGGTGGACAGGGACGGTCCAACTTCTCAGGAGCATAACCAGGGCGGCATCACCAAATCTTGCTACATGCAGTGGAGGGACAGCATGAGCTCCACCAACACGCTGGGCTTCAGGATAGAAGGCATCAAGGTGACACGTCGTTCACATCTCACTGCAGGAAACCGAGGCGACTAGCATGGCTGGATTAATTGAACTGGATTAACAGGACAGACATTAGAGATGAATCAAACTCAACGGCCGAGGACAAATCCAGATTTTCCAAACATTAAATCTTCAAAAACCAAAAAAAAAAGATTTATCACAGCCCTATGTTTACATGGCAAAAACAAAAACTTACTAAATAATTTTTATCTAGTTTCTAGTGCAAATATCTTCAGAATTAAGACTTAACTAACAATTAACTTTTCAACAAGATGTAAAAGCTTTTTTTAACTCCATGTTTTCTTAATATTGATCAAAAATTACTTGATACATTGGCAGTTTAGGTTTCCCATATTATAAGACAAATAATCTGCCAGTGAATCATCATCAATATTAGGGATTTATTTACTTAAAAAAGTTTTTTGCTAAAAAGTATAAGTTAGTTTTGTGCAGTAAGAACTAGACCAAAAATACTTGGTACAATTGAGTGTTTTTGCAGTGTAACTAATGTTGTTGAGGCCTTAAACGCAGCACATGTATGCAGGATGCTCAAACTAACAATGATTTAATCTGTCCGCTCCGTAATATCATCCTTCTGCTTCTCTGACCTCTTCAGAAATACGACGGCACGTGTCGAACCGACTTCAAGAAAACCAGATCGAAGCAGGACATCATCAAAGTGTTCAGGGAATTTGTCGAAGAGGACGTCAGCATTATTGTACGTGGTAGTCGTTTAACTTCTTGCTGCTGTGAATTCAGTATTGCGAGGACTCAAGCAGTTCTGTGCATGTCCAAATAAACACTGCAAATGCCGCAATAGGCGTCACCTTAAAGTCTGTCTTTACCCACGCAGAACACACAAGCTGTGCAAGCGTTTACATCCGTGTTCAGAGTTTGAACAGTGCTGGAAAGAATCACTTTGTTGTCTCTGTGCTCACATTTCGGACAAACGTAAGGATAAAACTGTAAAAAAAACAACACAGTGAAAGTGTTTAAATTGCAAGAAGAGAATGTAAATATTCACACCTCGAATGTGTTTGAGTTTTGGTTCAGAAACGGTTTCTGCCACGCCTCGGGTAAACAGTAGCTGTATAAGAGATAAATTCAAACGTTGTTTCTTGCTTTTTTCTCGTTGAAATGCAGAAGTCTTACCTGAAGAGGGTGAGGGAGATCCGGGACGCGCTGCAAAAATCCGATTTCTTCAAGAAACACGAGGTGACGACTGATTTTCACTCTGACAATCAGACACAGTTTGATGGAAACAGGAAAAGTCCTGCATAAAAAATGATCAGTTTTTTAAAAATGCCTGGTTGCTGAAATGTGCTACACAAATAATAAAAAAAAGAAAGAAAAAAGTTTTATTTGTGATCGTTTGTGTGCAAACGATAAGACGTTTGTGCACAATGCAATATACTTTGTAATACCTCATATTACAAATATTGTCTTTAACTTTATATTTCATTCAATTAAACTTTACTTAACCTAAATTTGCTTACAAATACGTTTTCAGCAAGACAACAGGAGCTTGTTTTCAGTCAATAAGTCAGTAGTATTGATTTTTAAAAAGTATAGTTTCACTGGATGATTAACTAGTAGCTTATGTTATCCTCAGTATCAAGGAATTATTCATTAAAACCAAGTCCCTGTATCTTACTGAAAAGTTCATTGTAGGTCAGTTTTGTCTTATTCCAAGTGCACTAAGATATTTGGAGATATTCTGTGTTTTTGCGGTGAAAATAAAGCCTCACTTTAACTTCTGTGTTGTTTCCCCACCAGGTCATCGGCAGCTCTCTCCTCTTCATCCATGTCTGCGGCCGAGCCGATGTCTGGATGATTGACTTTGGGAAGACTTCAGCTCTGCCTGAAGGTCACACTTTACGGCACAACGTTCCCTGGCAGGAAGGCAACCGAGAGGACGGATACCTGTGGGGTTTGGAAAACCTCATCCTCACGCTGGAGGCTGCGTGCGACGAAGGGAGGGGAGAGGAAAACAACAGCCTGACTACAGACCGGGACTTTTAAAGGTGGAGGGAACAATTTTAAACGGATTCCGCTAAACGACTCTTTGGGTTTGGGGTTTGCGTTCCTTGATTTGCTTCACGTTTGCACGTGACGTCACGGTCTTCAGAAATCCGCCATGATGAGCGTCAAACGACATACACGCTCCAAACAGACTTCTGGGGGTCTAATGTCGCTTTTATCGAGTTGATTAAACTTTAAAGTGGTCGCTGTTGGTTGTACAGGCAAGCGTGGAAACCTAACTTGCCATTTTATTTATAACTTTTGACGAGGGACATCGCAGCGGCGATGAGTAGCCCTTAGGTTAATTTTTTACCTCGTAAAAAGATCAACGTTCATATACTTTATAAGTAAATATGGTTAGAAAGGTGACAAACAACGTCGCATTATGGAGAACGTACGGGTCTAAATATTGGTAACCATGGAAACAGTGCCGCGCCGACATGTAGCCTAGCATGTATGGGTTAGCATCTCGTCTTTTGTTCGCCTTTCAGGCTTCTTCTGTGTAAAGGGAAATGCCGTTCATGACGTAGTGACATAAATCATGCGGTGTGACGTCAGGCAAAGAGTTTAATTTGATCAACACGTCAAAGGAAGGAGGCGTAAGTCGGTTTCTAAGCTCGCTGTTAGTTTGGCGTTACGTAAGCACGCGTTACGCCTGGTTACGTAAGCAGGCACGCCAAACCGACAAATTAGCCTTCTTTTTTACGCTTATCGTAAAAAAGAAGACAAATTAGCCTTCTGTCTTATGTTTGCCACAAGAAAGAAGGATAATTAGCGTCACTCGAACAAGTAGAAGCCATGAATAAACTGACAAAAACAATCTAGTCGCTCTGTTCAAATCGCCCATCTCTCACTCCCGACGTCCATCATGGCGGTCCAAATAATTTAGTGACGCAGTCGCAAACGGTCATGTAACGGTTGGGCTGCGACACCGAGAGAAACAGAACAGAAGGAAGCAGAAATGTTCTTTAAAAAATAAGTTAACTATTGGTCCAATACACTGACACTAATTCATCATCCTGTGAAGTGAAAGCTCGGAGTTCCTGCTTTCATTTTAACGGGATGAAAGGGAGAAAATCCAGACGAGAAGCGGAGGAAAACGTTCGCCACCGCAAAAGCCTTACGCGGAACATGAACTACTGACAGACCTCACAGTTACTACAGCATTACAGCACAGGGAGGCGCTGTGGAGCTCATCGGTTGTCTTTTCTAACTATGTTTGCATTTAATTCAGTTTGTAGTAAGACTCCATCACTGGATACATCACCACACGCTGCAGCACATGGTTCATTTAACAAATTAATCATAAAAAAGTATATAACTGTTGTGGAAATAAAATAAATCAGTATATATATATTAGAAATGAAAATTGACTTTTGGTTTGTTTTCTTGAAAATAAAACCAGCAGGTTGAATCCACTTTATTTTTTATATTATTAGGATCAAACCTACATTTAAGATGTTTTAAATAGTTAAATATCTATTTAACAGTCTTTTAAAAGGAGAATCGGGAGATTTTTTATGCTTATAAGTGATTTAGTCAAAAAAAAAAATTGGTTTTATAAAAGCTAATGCACATCAAATTTGTTCTGCCAAAGGTAATTTCTGACCAGGACGTTTTCTACTTCACAAGAAATAAAATGCAGAACTATGTCTACTGCAGCATTTCTATATAACTGCTCAAAAACAAAGTTCAGTCCACCGAATGACATTTATTCCTGCAGCCCTGATGGAAATAACATGGTTTTCTGTGTTGGTTGTGCAGCAACACCAAAGCTGATATGTTTTTGTGCTTTCCAACAAAAAACGATCCAGATTTAGCCGATCTACCAGAATCAGACAAGTTCATGCACATAAACAAGGAGCAAAAACACCATTTCACCAAGTATTTCTGCCCAGCTTTGAATATTAACATCTCAGTGTAATCAAAATAACACAAAGCTAACTTACAATGTCAATGTCAATGTCAAATTTATTTATATAGCACTTTAAAACAGGTATAAAACTGCACCAAAGTGCTGCACAGGAACAACAGTAACACAAGTAGATAAAACAGAATATCAAAAAATTGCTTCAGTTAAAAGCCAACGAATAAAAATGAGTTTTGAGAAGCGATTTAAAATGATCCAGGCTGCTAGCAGATCTAATCTGAAAAGGCAAATTGTTCCATAAATTAGGAGCAACAACAGAAAAAGCCCGATCTCCTTTCCTTAGTCGGGTCCGAGCTATTTGTACTTACAAGTACAAATAGCTTTTATCAAAATATAGGAGCTTGCTTTAACTAAATAATTATTGAATATTGATAAAAAGTCATACTTCCACTGGCAGATTCAACTTTTAAAATGGAAAAAATGTAAAGTGAAATAGTCTAGCAGTTTTTCATCAATATTTACAAACCCCTAAATCTTGGTGAAAAAATTGCTTGATAGTTTTGTCTTATTTCTGCACTAAATACTAAACAAAAATACTTGGTAAAATTAATGTTTTCAAGGAGTTTGGGGAAAGTCACTGAATGGTGTTGACTGTATTTGCGCCTCTGTAACTTTTCAATATTATTATTTTTTTAAATAATGTGCTCTAAAAACTGCAGAATTAATCACATTTGCACTTTTATAGAGAGTGATTTACCGGCACGTTTACAGATTCTTAAAGACTTTATTTATGAGTCAGAAGCTGGAAATTAAGACACCAATATTAGCAAGCCTGAGCACAATTTATACAAAAGATCCAACAAACTTCAAAATTTGACAAATTATAACATACATGAGAGAAACAGTTGAAGCTATAAATGATAAAACTAATTAATTAGCCAAATAAAATAAAAAATTCTAAATGTAAATGGCAGTGATTCACTACAGAGTCAACATCAACAATAAAACCACGTACGAAATGTAAAGGATTAGTCCAGTGTACAGACATGAGTATAAAAATAAAGATTTTCACAGCTGCATTAAGCTAACAAGAGACGCCTACTGGCCAAGACTAGGAAAAAAACATTCAAAATATTTTTATTATAAGTAAATTAATCTCTGCTCAGTTGTAGTATTCTTTGTTTTGAGAGTTTTTGTTGATAATACTTAAAAAATTACAATGAGGCATCCGGAGCTGGTGTGAAAATGCATCTTAGAAAAATAGGTGACCATGAAATAAAATCTTATTTAAAACAAAATAAAAATGTTGTCTTTAGATAGAATTTGAAACAGTTTTGAATATCTTATAATAAAATAGTCAACAAAAACTACAGTAGTTTACAGTTAAAATATGGTACAAAAAAGATAAAAATAAAAATACTAACGTTTTGTTCACAGATGAACACCTGCCGCCCCCTGCTGGATGATGGCAGGTATTACACCCTCCACATTTCTAACAGCAGGAATTGAAATGTTCACAGCTGCAAAATCCTAGTCAAAGTCCGGTCACTCATTAGTAAATCACAAACGTAAACAGTGAGCCCAGAAGAAGGAGCTCATTAAATATATTTTATTAATGGATGAATAAATTTGTTATTTCCTGTCAAAGCCAACATTCCTCAATTCTGCTGTGAAGTTTTAAAAACTATTTTTAAATTGTTTGAGTAATTATAAGTTGACTTGACATTCTTTCAAGGCACCAGTAAAACCGGCAGTGACACAGTCCCACAGAATAATACGACCACTACCATGCTTGACCATTTTTAGGGTGTACTAAGCTTTTAAACATAAACTTAAAAAAAAAAAAAAATCAGTTTCATGTCAGAAATTAAAAGCTCAGAATTATCTGGGCATCCGTGATGATAACAAGTGGATGTAAACTTCTGACTGGAGGTGAAAAAAGGTTTTAACAGGAGGAAAAGCACCGAAATATAAACCTAGGTGCTCATCTAAGTAGAGTTGCTTTCATAAACTTTATTCTTTCTGATTATAACACCATATGAAACATTAATGGATCAAAAAATGACAAATAAAAATCATTAGGAAAGAGTAAAAAGATGTGGCTGCAGTCATCAAGTTCACATTATGTAAGGAAAAGGAGGCGAGAGGGGAGCTTGTAATTTATATAATGTAAAAATAAGAAATAACATTTGTTTATGTTGCTTAAAAGTAAACATAAAAAAGAAATTATTTTCTCCTCATTAAGTAATTTAAGGAAGCAAAATGAAGCAATAGAAAAAAGAAAGCAAAGTTGCATTTTGTTAAAGAATGTAAAATAAAATTTAATTATTAACTTTTTTCATGATGCCGTGAATTTATTTTGAGAGTATTTTTATTTGTTTAGATTAAAATCAATCAATCAAAGTTGGGGCTATATTGCATCAATCTCCTTTTTGGCCACTAGATGTCGGTATTTCCTAAAACAAATCTTTAAACACTCCTTCGCTTTAGGTTAAACATGTATTAATATAAACACACGTCTGACAAAGCATTCATAAAACTACAGCAGGATAAAAAGATAACTAGGTAGCAGTGAAAATATCTCAGCATCAGTGTTTGGCTACCTCTGCACCAGAAGCCCAGGAGGGGGCGCTAAGCACACAACGGACTCTCTATGAAAGGCGACCTATAACGCTAATTTCATTTTTTGCATGTTTTTACACTTCTGTTTGCTTCTAAGCACTTAAAAAAGCCATTTTCTTGGAAATAAGTTGTTATTTTTTGGTGTCTGGGAAGTGAGTTGTTTCAAAAACCTCCCGAATGTCGAGTCATAATCGACAGGCACTGCGCTGTTACCTAGCAACAGTATGGGCTGTACAATGGCTGCTGGAAAAGACAAGTGTTTTGTTGTTGACGTACCATCCAGAAACCACTTGCTGGATTCTTATTGGTTGTGAAGGAGACTCCACTTCCGCTTTTCAAACATGTATGGTTGTGTAATTGTGCATCTGTCTTCAGCCTTTTCCAAATCATTCCAAGAATCTAAGAATAATTTGGTGCAAAAAATGTAATGAACAAGTTTTGTGTAGGCCATAGACTAATCCTAACCTGTTCAAGGAAGTATAATAGGTCACTTTTACGATTCAGAGATGTGTTTGTGTGAATGCTAGCATTTCATTGGGTTTTCCAGCATATCAGGAGCTAGAGTCATTTGATCTTTGCAGAGCTCGTCGTCCAGCTGACGGATTTCATCATATTCAAAGTCTCTGTTGCCACATGCTGATTTCTAGATGTGAGCGACACTCAGGTCCTCAGACAGAGAAAAGCCAGAGTCCCGGTCGCGGCTGAGCTTCTCTGTTTTAGCGTGCCTCCTGACGTCCTCGTGTCCGTAGCTGGCGTGGCGTTTCAGCAGAAGTTTGGGCACACAGGCTGAGGCGGTGCTGAATCCCAGCGCCAGACCCAGGCCAGTTCCTGGTGAGACGCTCGGCGGACCGATGCTGCATGTGATGGCTTCTGAGGCTTTGGGCTTCACCAGGGGCAGGCTCTCTGCCTCGTAGCTCTGCTCATCGTAGGCAAAGTTGACGTTCCCACAGGGGAAGCTGTGCAGTTTAGCCAGGTCCACCCCGGCTTTAGAGCTGCCTCCTGTCAAGGCCTTGGACACGGTTGGGGCAGCTTGGACCTGGCAAACTGGACTGAGGTAGGTGCTGCTGGTTCCGTCGCAAACAGCTTTGTTGTTCTCCTCAGTGGAATTGCAAGAGAGTGGCATGGACTGAGTGTGAGCCAGCGTTTTCTTCGTCCGGAAGCTTTCGAGGACCCAGGAGCCGTATGTTGGATTCCAAAGGTTCTTGGTCTTGTTTTTCAGCCTCTGGCTCCCCGAGGAGGAGCTGTTTCTGGAGCAGGGCCGATGATGAGCAGGTTCCGGATGCAGAGAGTTTGCTACAGAAGACAAACCAGGAGCAGGAACAGTCTCTGCCCAGGACGGCTCCAGCACTTCACAGCAGGAAGTCACTTCCTGGTGGACCGGTTGGGTTCTCTGTAGCAGAAGGCGAGGTTTGGTGGGCTGCGGTGGAGGGACTGGAGGACTGAAGCCCTTGGGGGAGAAACCGAGCTGGGAGGGTGAGTCCTTGCAAACAGGGCGGGACACCAGTAAAGGAGTGAGACTGGTGGAGTTGATGGCAGTGGGACGCATCCCCGTTCCGCCATCGTCCTCTGTGTTGGGGCCATATTCAACAGGCAGAGGGGTATTTATCACATCAGGGTCCTGAGAGAAAAATGATACATGCAGATCTAATTATTTCATCTAAATATCCATCTAGTAATGAGCCTAGCTAACCAGATAGCTGGCTAGCTTGATAGATGAAGTAGGTCTTCAAATGCATATTTATGCATGTCTTCCTGGAACCAACAGTTATAGTTGGAGATAGGTACCTGCCCACTTCATCTATGTCACTCCAGCTAGCTGGCAAGGTAGAGAGCTGCAAAGGTAAATAGCTAGCTTCGTAGCAAGCTAGAGTAGGTACATAGCTATTTAGCGAGCTACAGTGATATATTTCAGTTACATCATTCTAGCTAGATTAATAGAAAGCTACATAACTATGTAATCTATCTATCTATCTATCTATCTATCTATCTATCTATCTATCTATCTATCTATCTATCTATCTATCTATCTATCTATCTATCTATCTATCTATCTGTTGTGTTTTAGCTACAGCTACACCAATTAGCCATCTGAAGTGATGAATGAATGGATGTGGATGGATGGGTGGATGGGAGGGTGGATGAATGGATGGGTGATGAATGGATGGATGAGTGGATGAATCACATCTCTTCTTCTGAGCCATATGCTGAGAAGAAGAGATGTGCCTGCGATGTACCTGAGTGCAGTAGTTAATTCTCTCCAGGATTGTGGCGAAATTGGGCCGGTGATCAGGACAGTGCTGCCAACACTGGGTCATGAGCCGGTAGCTAAAAAACAAACGACGAATTAAACTCAAAATGTTTCATTCTTATCATTTCATGATTTTGGGATGGAAGATCTTGAACTCACACAGGGCCTGGACATCCCTTTGGTGGATCCATTCTGCCGCCACTGGTGACAAACTCCAGAACCTCCTGGTTGGTTTTACAGGGGTAAGGCATGTAGCCCAGAGACAGGATTTCCCAGAGCAGTACGCCGAATGACCTGCAGGGGGAGACACAGATTATCAAGTGGGAGGATTGTTTTGATTTCAGAAACTTTTCCAGCTTCACTCCTCATTTAGACATTGAAGAAATAAGAAGTAAGTTTGAGTAGCTTATAAAAGTTGTCACTTCTTATGCCAGAATAAAAGGTTCAATCAGGAAATATCATAATGAGAAACTTTAAATAGATTAAACCAATTAATTTAAGCCACTTTCTAAACTTAGAAGTGCAGTTTGCACTCATGATGGCTGCACCAGCAACACGATGCAGCTCTGTTTAAAATAATTCACATAATTAGTTTTCAGCTCTGCGTAACCTTTTTTTAAAAAATCAAACTGACATAAAAGTGTGTTGCTCAGTGGATTCCTGCATACCAGGTGTCGGTCTTGCAGGTAAAGATTCCCTCCATGAAGGCCTCTGGTGGCATCCATTTGACTGGCAGCATGGCTCGGCCACCTTTCCTGTAGTAACTCGCCCTGAGAAAAACAGATTTCTCTGTTCAGCATCAGTTTGAAGCAAAAGGTCATGAACTCCACCTTTGGCTCAATTGTGGGAAAATTAGATTTAGTTTCCAATTATTCCAACAAAGCCCCCATCAGGCTATTTTTTGCTTCCAGGAGACACATGATGGTGCTTTGCTGCAGAATCAGAGTGGATCCCGCAGGTTCAAACCTGTAAATGTCTCGGGCCATGCCGAAGTCTCCAATCTTAGCCACTCTATCTGGCCCGGCGCAGGTAAGCAGGCAATTCCTGGCAGCAATGTCTCTGAAAAAACAACAATTGCAGTCAGAAGTTTAAAACTAACTGTTGTTAATCACAGCAGGAGGCTGATTGACAAGAAGGAGGGTCTAAGCAAAACAAATAAATAAATAAAAAACAACAAATCTATCATTCACATAACTTTAGATAGATAACATTAATAGTTTGGCAAAAGTAAATTAATCTAATTCTTAATAGTCTCCAATAAGCTAATATATCTTAGTGAAACGTCACTTGAAAGATATTTGCACTATAAACTACACCAAAACTAGTTTGTGTGAAATTGCTTATAAAAAGAGCGATTCAGATGAATCGATAAAAATTTATAAAAAATTTAGGAGTGGATAGAAACTTATGGTAAGACTTATTACTCCTCTGCAGCCTTCCTTACTCGTCTGTTTTATCAAAGTATGACAGAAAATAATGATTGGTTTGAGTTTTCACTCGAACTGATCATGAGTCTGGACCTGTGGATGAACTGGTTCTCCTCCAGGTATCGACAGCCGCAGGCGATGTCTCTGGCCATCTGCAGCAGATCCCGCATGGTGAGAGAAAAGGTCTGGCCCTGGAAACGGCACAGCTCCGATCAGCAGGGGCCAAACGAAAAGATAAAAACCATGCAGAGCTGCTGTACCGCTCGCGGCCTGTTCTGCCTCAGGAAGCTTTTCATGTCTCCGCCGGTCATCAGTTCCAGCAGAATGAAGCGAGGCAGGATGTTTAGACTGACGCCGACGCAACGCACGATGTTCAGGTGGCTGAACTTACTGAGAGCACAAAAGAAGAGAAGGGCGAGCAGAAGCTTTATTAAGGACCATATAAATGATTTTACTCAATTCCTGAAATCAAAAAATGAAATGGATGTAAAATATACATTTCTGATGTAAAAAAATGAGAGGAACATGAAAAACGTAACCTTTACCTTTACTTTTTTAAATCTGTAAAGGGGGAAATATAAAGTTGTAAAGGTTGGACGAGCACGCTGAGCTAACTTGTGGTGAGGTCAGAATAAATCACCACATTCAAGCGGCAAGGCTCTGTTTCCCAGGAGTTTGGGCCTGAGGACCAAAGTTGCTCAAAAGTACGGAACAGCATTAGTGCCACTAAAACATAATAACAATAATAAAAATAAAAAAAAAATCTGATTTTTGATCTCAAGAGATTAAATTCACAAATTAAAGTCGGAATTCTGAGAAAAAAGTGAGAATTCTGGGAAAATTTGCCCAGATTTTGTTTTCATCAGTGGCCCTAATTCTTTTCTGTAGGTAATTTTTTTTTTTTGTCACGTAGGTCAAAATCACCAAGTCAAAAAGTAAAATTTTTACAAAACGTAAATCACAAAACATATTATGAAATAATATTTTTATTTTATTTATTAGTTGAACTTAAAACAGGTTTAGTTTGCAGTTCTTATTTACTTGATTGGAAGAAAAAAAAACAGAAAACCAGATTGTTGATTGTTTTGTTTATTCTTAACAAAGACAAAATGTTGGTAACTTTTAATTTGAAAACTACGATGCCTGTTAATGGGTGGGGGTTGCCAAAAACCTATACATTTTTAGATTAATTTCAGAATGTTTCTAGAAGTATCATGAAAATGTTGGAAATGTGAGAAGGTTCAAAAGTCAAACATTTCTGAGTTTTTTTTCTCACGTTTTTATTTGACTTTTGGAGCTCAGAAATTTCCACATTTCTTTCTTGAAAATTTCTGAGATGAATCAAAAAATTTCTGAGATTTTTGGTGGAAATTTCTTCCTTTTTTCTATCTGCAACGGCCATTACACTTCCTGTGTTTAGTAAAAGTCTATTAAAGTAACTAAAAGAAGACTTGTTAGAGTAAAAGTCATTGGGTAGATGTGGGTGTACTTACTATGAAATTGATTTATTTTTATGCACAGCATTAAGCATAATGTCAAACTTTTGTTTTACATGTTCAAGGGAGGAAAGAGATCACAAAAACATTTTTTTGCTGCAATAATATTTAAATTTGTAAGGCTTTGACTTCATTAAAAGAAAATCCGTGACTCTGGAAAAGTAAATAATGTCAATGAGTCGGAAAAAAAGAGAATCCCTTAATTAAACAGAAAGGTGCTTCCAGATTATTTCAGTTTAATAAAATGTTGATAGTTATTGGTCAGAAACCAACGAATTATCATAGTCCTGAATATATTTTACAAGGATGACTACACTTTGTATTAGAACTAGTTAGTCGATGTTTTCTGGTCATAATAATACAGAATCAGTGCACTGTAAAAAAAAAAAGAAGCATTAAACTGTAGCGGCGCAGCGTGAAGTGAGCGATAGAGCTTTCACCTCAGTGGGGAAACGTTCTTCCAGGCTCACCTCATAATCAGAGCCTCCATCAGGAAGTCCATTTCGTCCTGCTCGGAGCAGATTTCTGGAAGCGTCTGCAGCCGACAGAATCAGAGCAGCATTACTGCTATTGTCAAAGGAGTCCGAATAACAGAGTCTAATCAGCAGAGCACAGAAAGGCTGGCAACATCCTGAAGAGACCAACTTCCCCCTTTCGTTGCTCTGGACCTGAGTGGATATCTTGTCAAATATTCACTCAGTTGATGCACAACTGGGCTTTATTTTATACAATTCTTTCTAAAAACGTGTTTTTTTGGAGCATGTCCATGCGGTTTTATCAAAGGTTTCCCTTCGGTTTGAGCTGACCTTTATTGCCACCTGCATGGGGCTGCCATCGGCGCTCATTCCAAGAATTTGCCCCTCGTACACTTCACCGAAAGCGCCATGACCCAGAGCCCTGAGAGAACAAGACAAAAACTTTTATAAGAAACTGAAACTAAAAATAGACTTGGGTGTTTCTAGAGTACCTGCCTTTTTTTCTCTGGAGGAAAAAGAAAGTGCCCTTTTGAAATTTATTTTCACAATGTATTGTGTGTGTGTGCCCCACATTGTGTAATTTTGCCAAACATGACAACGGTTTCACCTTCAATCTGTATTAATTTTCTCATTTTAATTCAATCAAAACAAAACTGACCAAAACAACAATAACTAAAAAATTACAGAAAATCAAACCTTACATTTCAAATTTGAACATAATTTCAAAGAAACAAACTATTTCATTAAATTTGAGCAACTTAGAATGTTTTAATATTTAGTATTTTTCACCTTACTGTTCATACAAGAAGAAAATACTCAACTCAATACCTAAATATTTACAAGTATATACAAGTATATATATATATATATATATATATATACTTGTATAGAAAGAAAGAAGGAAAGAAAGAAGGAAAAGCCTCTGTCCGTCCTGTCCTATATATATAAATATATACAAGTGGTTTCTGGACGGTGAGTCAACAACGAAACATCTGCCATTACTGTGAAAATTTCCCACTTGAGCACCTGTCCCCCAAAATGTGGGTGCGTGGATCAGAACCTGAGCAGGGTGATGTTCTTGCGTGGAACCTCCTTCAGGTCGCTGAGCGACGCGGCCTTGCCTGCGAAGCAGTAGTTGGGGTTGTAGTCGGTCATGATGGTGGAGGAGCGGATCTTGCTCAGCTTGTACTCTGGGCTCTGCAGACGCCGCCTTACCGCATACAGGTCGTTCTTCCTGCGGTACCAAACTGCAGACAGAAGCAGAACCAGACGATAAACGGTGTTACTTTTACTTTGGTGCTTTTATAAAAGTCCAAACCCGGACTTTCTCTGGGAGCCCAGAGCTTCAGAGGCAGCCTCTGATCTGCCTGGGTAGGAGCGTTAATGCAAGGAGAAATCAAGCCAAGTCGCAGAGACACAGGAGGGTATCCAGCCAATTTAACATCAAATGCACTGCAAAAACACAAAATGTTACCAGGTTGTTTTGCTTAGATTGTCATGCAAATGTCTTATTACACTTGAATTAAAAGAAAAACTAGATTACAAATAACTTTTCAGCAAGATATAGGAGTTTATTAAGTTAGTTTAGATTCGGGGTGTTAAACTCATTTTTGTTTTGGGCCAAATCAAGATCATAAATGCTCGTAAAGGTCCGGTTGTGGCGAAATGTATTGATAAAACCTGTTGACAAACTGTAAAAATATCAATGAATTCTTAAAATTAAATATTATTATTGAACATCTGTTCAGTCCCTCCAAGATTTCATGATTCTTTTGGGATTTTTTGTAATAAAAATCAAAGTGTTTATGGTACTAATTTGGAAATATTTGCGCTTATTTATGATGGTAAATGTCACTTTTATATCACTCACTGAATAGATCATGGACAATAATCTGAGGATGAGGCAGCCTTGTGTTAGTGCTAAAAAGTACGGGGATTTGGTGATACAGTTCCATGATAATTCGCAAGAAGCTGGAGGAACGAATTGATATAATTTTGCAATAAACAAATACAAACTAATATTTAAGTACACCTAGTGTTTAGTCTAGAATATATAGGACCACAGAAAAAGCTTCGATGGGCCTTTAGTTTGACACGTGGTTTCGATATTTCCACTAGAATAAACCAAATGTTTTGGTAATATTTTGTGTTTTTGCAGTGTAGAGAGCATTAGAGCTGCTGATGTGGGATGGTTTCTCCTCGGTTAGCGCTCCTAGTCGCCCTTGTCCCTGTGAGGTTGGACTCACCCGCCGTGGAGGGGCAGCCCACGTCCCTGATGCAGGTTGGTAGTCTGCCAGGGAGGGGGAGTGGCGAGCGGGGAAGGACGAGCCGTCGAGCCATCGCCCGGTGCAGATGCTGGGGACTCGGGAGGAGGGGTGGAGGTAAGGGCGCGAAGGAGGTGAAATGAGGAGGAAAAGGCAGGACGGCGGGGGGAAGAGGAGGAGGAGGAGGACCCAGGGCACAGACTACCTCCCTGCATGGGGGAGAGCTCAGGTGGAGAGACACCATTAAGCTGAAGGGAACGTGAGGATTTCATGCTGCTTTTAACAGCCACTGACTCACAAAACGGCTCAAAACTTTAAAGAAATATCTGTCATTTATTCTCTGCTTTATTTACTTACAGGCTCACAGATTTACCCACAATGCAGCTGGCTAAAAATATCACTCTTCCCGAAGCACTCTTCAACCCATTTTTTATTTTAATTTTCAATTGTTCCAGTTTTAGCAGAACAAAAGCATATTTGACTAATTTGAAAAAAGACATTTCTTTTGTTGTTTTTTTTCCAAAATAAAAACAGAAAAGTGTGATGTGATTTTACCCCTCTAGCCAATTTTAATCCATTAACAGCTGCAAATTGTTAGGTTAAATTCAACAAAAATTTATATAATCTGGATTAAATCTCACTCCTCACTGTTTTGCTTTGAGATCTCTTGTATTTATTTGTTTTAAATTTAACTTTTCTTATAAGATTTTATGTGAAAATGTGAAGACATTTTAACTTATTATATGAGATAAATATGTTGTTTCACTGACAGATAATTTCACTTATAACACATAGCTTTTTAATCAATATTTAGGAATTATTACCCTAAACTAAGTTCAAGTATCTTGCTGAAAAGTTACTTGTAAGTTAGTTTTATTTTATTTCAAGTGCGCTAATGTATTTGCACTAAAACTAGATCAGAAATACTTTTGCAGTTTGCAGTGTAGACTGTAAGTTTAAGTAAAGACATTTCCCCAGCAGAGCTGCTTAAAATTCACCCAGGTTGTTAGTAGGACAAGAGAAGGAGCCTGCTTTTCATGCCACCTGAAAGTCACTCCTCTGAGAATCAGACGAGTCAAACTTCAGGCTCTACCTTCCCAGTTTTCTGTTGCAGCTGTCAGAAAGTGGGTCTTAATTCCCCAATAATCCTTCACTGTCCTATTTTACTGCACATGGAGTTCTGTGCACAGCTGAATATGCACTTAATAAAGTTTCTACTGCGTAGCAGCTTGTGAAATCAGAGTCTTATAAGTCCATGTCATGATGAATATTTACAGTGCAATGCAAATGTATTCATATCCTTTGAGCTTTGGCACATTTTGCTACATTCCAGCTGTGAAAATAATTATTATTTAGAATGGATTTTGTGTGATAGACCAACACAAAGTAAAATTTAATTATAAGGCGAAAGAAAAAAACGATCTTTTATAAATAGAAATCTGGAACCCATGTAATGCATTTCAGTATTTCAGAACCACCTTCTGCTTCAGTTTTGACAGGCTTTGCTTTTTCATCCACATGATTTTCCCATCATGGAAATGCTCAAACTGGATGGAGAATGTCTGTGAACTTTGACTAGGACATATCTTGATCCATGTTTTGGGTTGTTGCCCTATTAGAACAGGAGTCTGCAACTTCTACACTCCAAATAATCATTTTTACTCCCAGGTTTCCCTTTGCTGTGGAGAACAACACACAATTAATAATACTTAAATTTCCAAGTTTCATTGAGTTAATAGAATTATTTTATGCATGTAGAATTTCAGTCTTTTTGTCCTGCAGCTTTGTCTGAAATTTCCTTATGTAAACAACAGCATGCAGGTGGTCTACATTTGTATATCTGATTATGATTAAGTCACCAGCTTTGCACGTCGCTGCTGACGTGTCGTGACGTGCTAGTTACTGCATATTGTTTGGACTTCCATTTGTCGTCTTAATCACATAAAATCCCCCCAAAATCTAACAAATTTCTAGTTGTAATGTGAAAAAGTTAAAACACAGGAAACATTTGCTGGAAGTCAAATTTCTGCTATGGTAATAGTAGTTTTTGAATATATTATGCTGTCTAACCTGACCGGATAAAACCTCCAAAATAAAAATATATATTTTTTTAAATATTTTGCCACTCCCTCTCCTAAACATTACATCACAATGTGCAATTAGTGCTATTCTGTAACACATTTGCAGGTTTCAGTTTCATTTTTCTTGACCCAAAACAAGTGAGAGGTCAGCCATGACGCTTTGGTTTTAATCTTTACATCTGATAATCATGATTATTTTTTTCCACATATGACATTTACTGCTGTTTATTTTAAGGTTGTACGTAACCAGGCTACACTTTGCAGGTAAATGCCAAAGCTTTCTTCTTTAAAGACATTTATAGCATGTCATGCTTTCATCAGAACAATCGCTAAACTACAGGCACTAAATAAGACTTTGGTTTTTAATCATCACCCTTTAATCTGCTGTTTCCTCCTCTGTTCTCTTTGGGTTGTATTTACATTGAGTCAACATAAAAGAGAGCATCAGCAGACTGACATGCTATAATAAAAAGGTTCAGACTGTTGGCAACCTTTAACTCAGAGCAAAAGCTTTCCTCTCCTTTGATCTTCTGGCTGCTGAAAGGGTTATTTTCAAAGTTTCTCAGCCCTTCCAGTGGTTAGTGACGTCTGAAAGCTCACACGCTCACAGCCGGTGGAAGGAGGAGGGAACCGCCTGAGCGCAGAGCTGCAGGAGTCTCTTACTCAAGATGACGCCGGCGCAGACCAGAGCGACGCCGCTGACGACGATGGAGGCGACGACAGCCAGGATCAGCGACGTGGACAGCTGGCCTGGAGGGACGGGGCTCGGCGGGGCTGGAGAAACTGAAATAACAGATTTTACTTGTTAGTTTATAGGTTTATTTTGAGCCAAATACAATAAAAAGTATCAAACAAATATACTAATACCATAAAGAAGAAATATTGATTAGAAAAATAGCAGTAGTTCCACTGGTAGATTATTTCACCTAGCATTGTTAAAGAAGAAGTAATCTGCAAGTGGAATAAATACTTTCTTCTTTTTCTCAGTTTTTGTTCTGCTGTCACATTTTAAACTAAATTTGTTTTACTTTTCTAAGAAGGGAAAATGTTGTTCCCTTTTTTTTTTTAGCTTGAATTCAAGTTAAAAAGAATAAAATTTTCTAAATCTTACCAAGTATTTTTGATCTGGATTCTAGTGCAAATATCTCAGGACACTGAAGATAAAACAAAACTAACTATAAGTCACTTTTCATCAAGATATTGGAGCTTGTTTAAAGTACATAATTTATAAATATTGATAAAAAAAATTCTAGTTTCACTGGCAGATTATTCCACCTATCATGGAAAAAAATTATTTTAATAAGTGAAATAAATTTTCATCAATATTGAGGAATTATTGATTCAAATCAAGTCTCCTATATCTTTTTTAAACAATACTTATCTGTTAGTTTTGTTTTATTTTAAGATGTTTGCAGTCGAAATTTTTTTTAATGTTTGCTTGTGGCATAAAAACTCACCCGCAGCACTGACACACGTTACGTTGTCGCTGGCCAGGAATTCATCGTCGTCGCAGAGACAGAGGACGAGATGAGTGTCTTCTTCCCGCTTGCAGCTCTGCGTCTGACAATGGCTGCAGTTCAGCTCCACCTTGATCTCACACTCACCGTGACCCTCCATGGCTGGAAGGAGCAAAAACGCCACAGATTAAATACCTGTCTGTTTGACCTCATTCTCATATTACTGCTACAACTTTATTCTGCTAATACTACGATTATTCTGAAAATATCACTACCTTTTTTCTCAAAATATAGATTTTTTTATCATATTAACTGTCCTTGGAAAACTGCTTCTGAAGTCTGATTTAGTGGCGGATAGAGAGAAACTGTGTTTATGTGTCTGTTTCTCTAGAATATGCTTGGTGGTTTCAGCTGCATGTTGTTTTCATTGTTTCTCTTCTGGTTTTACATTCTAATCTCAGATTTTGCCCGATTCTCCGATTGTTTTCCTAACATGATGACAGATGCTCTGAGGTCCTGTGGTTTGGAGTTCCTGTGTGATGTTTTTCCACTCCACAGTTGGCTCAAAAAATGAAAACAGTCCAAAAAACTAAAATGAATAAATGAGTGGTTAACATGGTTTGTGGGAAGTGCAGCGATCAGACTGCAGAATATTTGAACATGCTTAAAAACCGCCATGACAGCCTGGTTCAAATGGGGATTAATAGTTATTATATACAAGGACATCAAACAACTTAAATAACAATTTATTTTGTTTTCTTATTCATTAAAAATTTACTTTCACCCCTCAATGTGAAAATTGTAGCATTCATAACTTTGCTGTTATTTGTGGAGGTTTTTTGTTGTTGTTTTTTTAATATAATTTCTTAGTAAATATTCAGCAAATTCTTAAGAAAATTATTTTTGGCTTACTTTAAATATAATTCTGTGCACATAAAATAAAAATTATACTTTAATTTGAAGAATATATTGAAATCTTACTGCTTAAACTTATTTAATTGGAAATGATTTGATTTTTTTTTTAACTGACTGGTTTATATATAATAATATATTTGTATTGTCACACAAAAACACAGATCTTATTATATTTTATGAACCAAAGGTTACATATTAATGGTTAATATTTTTAACCCTGCCAACAAAAATAATTTTGCTGAAATTAACATGAATTAACTTTTCTCTTTTAGACATTTAACTGAATTTATCAGCATTTTCTTTCAACAAATGTGTCCTAAGTTACAAAAAACTTCCAAAGATCTGTCTTAAAATGTTTAAATTTCATTTATTTGTAACTGTTTCATATGCCCTTTGATTGCAATTGCATTGTCTTTTTAAATCTTATTTTGTACCTAATCTTCTATATATTTTCATTTTATGTCTGTTTTTATGTTAAATTATGTGATGTTGAGAAAGGTGCCTGCAAATAAAACTTATTATTATTTATTGTTATTATTTTATTTACATGTTTCTGTTTTTCTCTAATTTTACATACTTCTGTTTTTTAGTAATGTTTTTTGTATGCACCAATCTGTGATTCAAAAATCATAATAATTTCTAAAAAGCTGTTCAAATTTAAATCAAATATAAAATGAAGATTTTATATGAAGATTGAAAGCGTTTCTGAATATATTTTGCCTCTTGCTGCACTTTATAACTCGTCATTTCTTTAAAAATCAATTTCCTCTGAAGGTTAAATTCCTAATTGTTTGCGTTGCCTTTATTTGCCATTCAGCCTCAGTGACATGCAGTCATAGACATTTTAAATCTAAAATTACGACAAAACAGAGCTTCATTGTTTCTCCACCATTAGAGGGGAAAATAAGCTTGTGTCTTGTGTCGGATAATAAACTTCACCCTAAATTACAGACAAGAGGACAACTGAACCACATGACAGATAAACATATTGGCTTTCAAATTGAATTATCATGATAACGACCCGCTTTTTTTCATATGAGGCGTTTTATGTTGCTGATCCAGTGGTTGTGTTTGGGAGCAGCGCTCTGCAGAACAACAATGTCTTTCAGGGGAGGACGGACGTCTGTCTGCCGGCGCCGGGGGCAACCGGCTGCACGAGGCCGCGAATTACCCGACCGCTTTCCTGTTCCTCAGCCGGGCTTAATGAGAATCAGATGGCCACCGTTCTCAACATAAATAACAGGAAACACCATACATTCATGCTGCTGCGGGCTTCAGATTTTACTGATAAAATGAGTTTACTTTTAGAGGAAAATCTTCTGGAAGAATAAACTTTATATGTAAAGTTTATATTCAAATATTGGAACAAACAGTGTAAAGCATTGAGTCACATTTAGTTGTGTCTGCCATCTTCTACTCTAAGTCCAATAAATTTAGGGAGTTTTAGATAAATGAACACAGACGAACAGGCACACATACACTGCAAAAACAAAATCTGACCAAGTTCTTTTGGTCGAGTTTGGTTCTGATGTTACAGAAGGGATCAAAGTTGGCTCAGCTAATTAAATTTGTCTTCCTTTTCTAGTCTCACCCCTTTTGAGAAACTAAGTGCTATAAATCTTATTCTTGACTCTAAAATGCATCAGTTAAAACCAAAACAATTTTCTTGTTGATTTAAATTTTATTTTCAAGTCAAACCACCTTCAAATTTTTTACAGTGGAAAATTATTCCCAATGGTTCACAAAACCTTTTTTTAATCCTAATTTAACAAGAAAGTTCTTTGAAATATATGCTGGAATAGTTTTCCGTATTCTACAGTTTTTATTTACAAACCGTCAGTATGAATGGAACTTATTTGGGTTTTTCTGAAATATGCATTCTGATTGGTGGTTTTCCAGGAGAGGATTTACAACTGTTTATTTTTTAAAGAAAAAAAATTAAAAATTATACATAAATATTTTTGTAAAATCTTCCAGTTTTAACCGCTCAATTTCTGTAGTCATTACACTGCAAAAACAAAATATTATTTTTTTGACGAGTTCTTAATACACTTGATATAAGGCAAAAGTAACTTTTATGAGAGATATAAGAATGTGTCTTAAGTCAATAATTAAATAAAAAAAGCACTAGTTCCATTGGCAGATATTAACAAGACATTTTTCTTGTTTTAAGTGGAAAATCTGCCAGTGGAAGTAGAGAAATTATTATTTAATATTCAAGAATTACTGACTTAAAACATGTTCTTATATTGCTGGACAGTTTTGATTATCTACCAGCATTTCTGACTGAACAGCTCTGCAGTTCTGCACTTATCAGGGAACGTTGGCGTAATTACAGTTGTAATCACAGAATCTGGGGAGCTACGGTCGCCCGCAGTGCCACACAATTTTTAGTTAATTTCCCTGCTTTGTGACATTCTTTGACCTGCTGCCTTTTATGCCAGCTTTGCCTCCGTTTCCACTTATTAATATTTGCAACTTAAGTGTTCCCAGGAAACTTTGGTGAATAAATGCACCCAACGTCAACGTGTCTCTACGAGGTTTCGTTGTTAATATTTAGATATGCATTGAATTTATTGCATTTTATGATTCCGACTCTTCAGTTTTGTTTTAAAAAAGAATATAATAGAGAAATAAATATAAAGGAATACTAATTATTATTATTATTCTTAGAATGTCAGGATGTCAGTTTGTGTCTCACCTGCCAGAGGTTGTAAGAAAATCTCTCCCATCGGATGAATGAAGGAAACGCCATTCTGGCCGTCGGCGGTGATGTCATCTGTCAGCGCAGCGTCGCCTCCTGTGAAGAAGAAAGTTCAGATTGTGTGAGACTATTACATTTCTTACAGCCGCAAACATTTTCACCTCTGACCTCTTGGTACATTAATTATTCAGTCTCAGTTTCTCTGCTTCCATCTCTTTTATTCCTTTGCTGAAATTGTTTTGCACTCCTTAAACTTTTCGATGTTTTATGCAATCAGTAACTTTAATGTCAAATTGTGCCATGGAAGGACAGTTAAAAGGTGATCTATTACACTTCTGTGGCGTATGGCCTAAGCAAAACATGGTGCATGAGCATTTTTTGCTCAAAATCATTCTTGGATAAAATTATCTGCTTCGTTCTGCATTTTGAGATGTTTTAGCGCATCTTGTTGCTTTAAATCCAAATGAGATACAGCTGACCACATCCCTCAAAATCAATGTTTACACTTTTACATAAAAATAGCTGCAAACAGATGCGCTATTATACAAGTGCACATCTTTGAAAAGCATTAGTAGAGCCTCCTGCACAACCAGCAAAAATGCAGCAAGTGGTTTCTGGATGGTAAGCTAACAACAAAACACTTCTGTTTTCCAGCAGCCATTGTACAGCACATTCAGAAACCAGCTGACTCGATGTGCTGGTGCTCAGGTTGGGTTGCCAGGTAGTGGGCAGAACTCTGCTGAGGTTGCTAGGTAACTGAGAGGTTTTTGGAATGACTCATTTTTCTGAAACCAAAAGCCGTCGACGACCAGTCAATGATTTGGGAAGTTTTTATTCATCTGGATAAAAAACTGACAAAATTTAAAAAAAAAAACTCAAACAGATGTTCTGATCACCTCTGTATCCGCCGCCACCGCCTCCTGCTGTGCAGGCTCCACCTCCTCCTCCAAACCCGCCATACGTTGACCAGCTGAGCTTTGACAGAGCCAGCGGACAGGAAGTCCCGCCCACTGCTCCTTCCACCAGTGATCTGCCGGCGCTCTGATGGAGACTGGGGATGTCCTTCCAACCACCTCCTCCGCCTTTCAGGAAACAAAAACCCTTCATGACTCAACGAGTATACCCAAAACATTTACTCAAGTAAATCTATTTTTACTCAAGTAAACAAAAGCCAAAAATAGCCAACAAGAAAAAAAATATTTTGTAAAAGGGCAAATCAGGTACCAAATAACTAATCAAAACATGTCAATTAATGTTTAAAGATTACATAAAACAAAGCAAAATTTGAAAATTTTGGTATATTAGAGAAAATAATTTACATAAATAACAGCTATGAAATAAATTATCCAAGTCAGTTTCTTTCAATATAAGATTTAGAAAACTTTAACAAAAACTGCAGGTGTTTGTCTGGAGAATTTCTGTTTAAAATATCAGATTTATTCATTCAGTGAAGTTACTCACAGTAAGTGAACTCAAGTAAGTGTAGCAATAAATTTTGTTAAAATTATTCAAAAGTAAAATAGTTGCAAATACTTTTTCTTTTTATACAACAATAATACTTTTGTTGTTGCTCAAACAACAAAAATCCAACATTCAACTCTGAAAGTTTGCAATATTCGCCTCTTTGTCTGTTTCCACTCCCACGGTTAGTGAATGTTTACAGAACCAACAATGGAGACAATCAGAGACTGAGAGTTTCCTTTCACTGAGGAATCAGCTTTTGTGCTTTGGTTGAATAAACGTGTCATAAGAGGAGGGAATTATATTTTATATTGATTTGAAGTAGCAATCATCTTTTCTGAATATATTTCAGCAAGATGTGTCCACAAGTTACAGAACCGGGGTTTAATGTTTTTTTTCTTTTTTTGTTAAAAAAAAAAGCATTTCTCATTATTTTCTAACAAGAAACCAAAAACTTTATTTAGCCGATGCACTTAAAGAAAAAGTACTTAACTGTTGCCTTTTTAATAATTGTAAAAACTTACTGGAGTGCAGTAATTGTAAGAAATAGCCACTAGATGAGGCAAAAGAAAAAAAAATAGTTCCCCTTTTTGTTTTCTGCTAACTTCAAGTTTACAAACAAGTTGTTTAAACTACTGAAGTGGATTAAAACTGTTTGTTTGGTTTGGTAAAACCCTAGTAATGACGATTGGAATCAAAAGATAAAACAGCAAGAAAATAATTTATGGGTTCGTAAACTTGAGATCAGTGAAATACATCAAAAATCAGCAGCGCCTGTAGCAATATTTAATAATTTAGGTTGGAGCATTCAGTCATGCATGATGCAATGACAGCCCAGGATAATGAGACCAAACAGCTGCACAGCCTTGAGAAAAACACATAACATGAAGACGAATTGATAAAGTTCAGAGATTGTAATAGAAATTTTTGATATTGTGCTGAAAAGAAATGTAGGAAGGAAGTGGTTGCTCTCTTCTATGTTCAATATAAGATCTTCAGATCATTCAGGTGTGGATGATCAAAAACACTCAGAATAAACGCAGTAAATGGTTGATTTTGACTCAATGTGCTAACCCAGGTTTGTTATGACTGTAGCTTTTCCCTTTTTTTTGTTTGTCATATCGTTAAATGATTTTAAAGGTATAAAATTCATATTAACTGGCAGTCTACCTGCTGCTCCAGTCTGACCGTTGGTGCCACGGGCTGCGGTGCTGTTCTCAAACTGCTCTGGAGGCATCTGGTCCAGACTGGACTCCGGGTTCTCCAGGTAGGCGTTTCCTCCCCCACCAGCTGCAATCAGCAAAGGAACCAGCTCACCGCCCTCCATCTGGAACAACAAACCAGTAAGTCTACACCTATTCTGCACTGCAAAACATCTGAAGGTGGTTTAACTTGAAATTAAATTCCACCTGCTGCCTGTAAAATAAAGTTTAACTCAACAAGAAAATTGTTTTTAAATCAGAAATTAAAGTTCATGAAGTTGATTTAACAACAAGAAGAAACAACTTGTCCAAATATTGTTTTCTAAGTTCATTAATCTTGATTAGTGAGTTTTAACTTAGACCAAATAATTATTTCACAATATGCAAGAAAGAAAACTGTCTTCATCTATTTAAAGAGCACACATTTCTCCATTGTTTTCACTCACAATATCAGGGTAAAACAATTACTTATTTTACTGTAGAACAATTTACAATTATATTTCAAATTGCACTAACAAAATGTCAGATGGAAGAGTCTTTATGAATGACTATGACTGGTGTCATAGAGTGTAATTCAGTAAATAACGACACTTTTAATGCAAAGTTGCATTAAAAGCCCATTAAAAGTGCCAACTTTACAAAATAATACTTTGACGCAGAAAGTAATTTAGAAGTCCATCAAATACAAACAATCACAACAAGAGAGTAAATGATTTGTGCCACCTTGAAGATGAAGGTGGCTCCTCCGCCGCCGCCGCCTCCACCTGCGCGCTCCGTGCCGGTCTCAGATCTGCGGTTGTCTTCGATCACAGACGACTCTCCCAGACATATTTTCTGTGTAAGAGGATTTCTCTGGCGTAGGAAGATGAGAATCAGACTTAAGGAGAAGGAGAAGGCCCTGTATCTGGGTCAGCCTGCAGTCTTTCCTCTGAACGGACACATGTCAGCTTTTCCACTCACCCCGGGGCAGGCGTCCTCTCCCTGGTGTCCCACCAAAATGTGAAGTATTTCGCCTTTTTCCAGGGGAAATATGGCGGAGATAAACACCCCATGGTTGCGTTTGTTGTGGTTTTTGGCTCCTTTTCCGCCTGCAGCGCCGTAAGCTGAGATACTGAGGGAGATCGCAGCAACGCAAAGGGATTAAACTCAGAAAGAAATTACACTTTGGCTCAAACCTAGCAAACAGCTGTGCTGACGATTTCTGACACAGACACAAAATAAAGAATATTGTACCCTGAGGATCGTCGTAACCTTTTTACGTACAAATACAGAGCATGGGGATTGTGAAATTGAACCTACAAACCTTTTCTGTTTTCCTTTAGTTTTTGTTCTTACCTCATGCTTCCTCTCATGAAGATAAGTCTTGACTGACAAATTAGATTTAGTGGAAAACCAGCTAATTATATTGAGTATGACCAATAGGATCACAGTTTTTGACGTTTAGGTCATTAAAAACAAATATGAATGGTAGAAATTATACTTTTACTAATATCAGACTTCCATATGAATGAAGAACAGAAGTGTGTGAATGTATTGGTAACTAATAGCAGTATATCTGGGGGTAAAATGTGTAGTATAGTAAGGCCTGACAAATATGTATTCTCTTATTAGAACTACAGTTATTTTATTTATAAATTTCATTAAAAAATGAATGAGTGTTCATGGGTAAAATGGGTTAAAAAAAATATACAGATAATTAGTAGGAGTTGAATTGCAGCACTGATTCTTATGAAAGTATTTTTTAAAACTTTTTTGACTGGTTGGACCAAAAAAAGTGCATCCATATTCTCTTGAATTTATATTTTAGAGCTTTAATTTTAGGATTTGGGAGCATCCAGTTGGAGAAAAGTGCAAAATTCTTCACACACACTGTCACCATGAAACCAGTGATGTTTTTTTCTTTCTTTTATCTTTCTAAAAGCACAAAAACATCATTATGTCCCATCTTTCTTTCCTGGCATCACCTGAAATAAACCCAAAGTAGCTCAATCTTTTTCACAAATGAACTCTTAGCCTTAATTTAGGCCAATTTTGTAATGCGCATTATTCTACAAAGGTAAATGGGTTTGCTGTTGGACATCACATTTAAAAAACAAAGTATGTGATGTGCTTCCAATAGTAGGAACAAAGTGTTTTTGTGTCTAATAAAAAGAGAAATGTTTCTTCTTCATTTTCACTCACTGGTATCGGTTGGTAGCAGGAACCTTCCACATTTGGACTCCTTTCAGGGGGCCCTCCTTCCCCACAGTGACGCTGACGTTTTTGTTCCTGTAGGTGCTGTCGCACTGGGCTTGGGTCGGACCGTGGGGGCCGCTGGCACCGCATGAGTTAAACCACCATGTCATCAGAGAGACTTCTGTCAATATGGAGAAAATAAACGGCTGGAATCAGCTGGAATATTAAGGACATAATGTGAAAAAACTGTGGAAGACTTCGGTAAGGTTTTCTGAGAGAACGCAGTGGCGCCCCCAAAAGGGGGATCAGAGGGGGACATGGCCACCATACTAATTATTTATTCTTTCTAGTCTGGCCAACACTAAGAAGATTACATGTTGACCAAAAATAAAAAAATAAAAAAAATAAATAAAAATTTAAAGTTGTAGCACATAACTTTTATAAAAATATAGGTTTTTTACAAATTTGTCCAAAATGTTATGACAGTATGGCTTGAGTCAGATAATCTATGAAAATAGATTATCTGACTCTTTGCTCAGTGCTATCTAGAAACAGCCAATCAGAGCCAGGAGGCTGGTCTTAGCATTGCCAATCAGGAGAGAATGCAGCGCTGCTCATTCCTTTCTTTTCTCTCTGCTACACTGCAGCTTTTTCCAGATAGCAGAGCCTGACACAAATGCCCAGGCTATTTAGCATGGCCAACAATGTCTTGTACTGTTTTAACAAACATGTAGAAAACATATTTGCAGCTTTAAGTAGTACTATCTAAAATGTGAGTTCTGTATGCGTTATTCAATATTTAAGCTAAGATATTATATTTTGAGAATTCTCTAGTCCCAGGTCTTTCCTATACATACCTGTGACCGACGGTTCAGGAAGTGGACTCAGGAAATCAAAGTCAATTTGCTGCAGCGAGTTGAGATCTGAGGACAGACAGAAACATCCAATTCTGACTGAACAGAAGTTTTAATAAGGACAATAGCCTTTATTAGTCCTTATTAAAACAAATGTAAAGCAAATGTAGGATAATAAGAAAAAATTAAAAAATAGATATTTTCTGACTTCCTGAGCAGAAAAATAATGTGGATGAGTGTTTAATTGTCCTCCGGTCTGCTTTTGCATGCCGGCTTAGAAATCTGCCCACTTAGCACTGGGAATGTTTGTGTGATGGGCTCAGCCAAGCTCTTCCCTCAAACCAATTTTGTGTTTCTAAATTCGATTAGGAAAACAAAGGCTTCAGATACAAAAGTATAGTGTTGTCAACCAGCAAAAATGTTCCAATTTAGCATTATTCAGATTTACTCAGAGGTGGCAGACTTTCCAAAATCTGTTTGAGTAACATATTTTTACTGAATAACTGATCAAAGCAATCATTAAATATTTGAAAATTACATCATAAGGACCAAAATATAAAGTTAAGTGTAAAGTTTTCCATTTTAGAGAAAGTAATTCAAATAAATGACAGGTATAAATTAACAAATCTTTCCAAATGAGTTGCTTTCAATGCGAAACTTATAAATCTTTAACAGAAACTGCAGCAATTTTACTCAGGTGAGAGAAGGAAAACTTTAAAATAAAATTACTCAAGTAAAATAAAATCTACAGTGTAGTAAAAATAGTAATTTTTCCCCTAAAAAATTACTCAAGTAGATGTATCTAAGTTAATGTTACTACCAAACTCTGCAAATGCTTCCTGAGGAAAATAATGACTCTTATTTTCCTCTGTCAAATGTACAGTTATCCCTTTTTAAAGGTTTTTATCTGCAGTTTTCTTAAATTATGTATAAGTCCCCTTCACAGCTGAGCATAAAAAGGTTTTGTAAGTGTGGGAATTTAAACCCAGAGTGCAAAAACTCAGAGAGAGGAATGCTGGCACACACTGCTGTCATACTGCGGTGAACGATTCGTAGCAAATCATTTTAGCGCTGGTGTCACAACCAATCATTAAAATGAGGCGTCAAACTGGAGTCCGAACACTTCACAATGACTTTATGAAGCACATTTATAATTTCTGAAAGTTTGTGCTTTGCACAACTCTTGTCATGACGATGTAGGTGTGTTTACGCCTACCTGTTTTGAAGCAGGCCGCGCCGATGGCGATGTCATCAAACGCGAAGTCAGCGTTGGAGTTTGGTCCCCACGCGGCTTTGACGTGGATGTGGAATCTGAAGGGAAGCAGAAATCAGAAAGCAATAGAAGCTCTTACAAAGGAATAATTGTAACATGAGCAATGACAGACCAGAAAACAGAAACAGATGACATTTTGTCAGATCCCCAGTACTTTGTTTTGTTTTATTATGATTGTGTGTGACAGTTCAGAACAGTGTCTGCGGCTGACAAGTGGTGGGAAAATGAGACTGTTAGAATTACTGCATTGTGTTATCATTCTTACATTAGTAGTTTAGATTACTAGGTTGTTTCTCATTTAAAGGTTTAGTGTTCTCAACTAGAGAAAAACTTGATAAAGACATAACTAACCTTTCCCTTAACTTCAAGCATGTTTTTGCAGCTGGTATCTGAATCTTCTTTAGGAGATCTTCCTAAGATAATCCTTAGTTGTAAAACTGTAGAATTTAGTTTCTGTGTTCCCCATTTCCTTATCAAGATATACCTCCCCTATTAAGATCCATTCACTCCCTTCCCTGCTAATAAAGACAAACTTTTACATAGGTCGAGAAAAAACCTATCAATACGTTGTCTCTTCAAACTTTGAGCATTTAAAGATTTAAATTTTTCTCTGTTTTTCTATGCAAAAAGCTTAAAGGTGATCTTTAATGCTTCTTTGAACGGGTTACGATAAGTCTATGGGTGATACAAAACATTTTCTTTACATTTTGTTCACAAAATTATTCTTAGATAATGAGATTTCAGTACGTCAGAGCTGTTTTACAACCTCTTGTCATTTTACAGTCAAGTAAGCTGCTGGGCACAAAAAATGGCTGCAAACAAATTCGCAATCATACAACCTCACATCTTTGAAAAACACAAGTGGAGCCTCCTGCACAACAAATGAGAATGAAGAAAGTGGTTTCTGAACAAAACACTTTTTTCCAGCAGCCATTGTACAGCACAAGTTAACCAGCTGACCAAATGTATTAGAGCTCCGTTTGGGTTGCTCGATAACGAATCTGGGCTCAGCTGGAGTTGCTCGGTAACTGTTCGAAAGTCCCAAGTACCGGGCTTAGCAAGTTTTCTGGGGGAAACTCTGATTACATTAACATCTCCATCCATTATTATCTCCAAAAACAGTGCGCTTTTAACCTGCTGAAAATGTTTCAGACACAGAACAACACAAAAAAATCATAATTGGGTTTTAGCAAAAAAGAATTTCAATTTATTGTCAAGACCGATAATGAACTTGAACCCCAGAATTTAATGATTTGGTGAGTGACCAAATACTATGTTATTTTTCTACATACCCATGATTGAGGTCAGTCACTTCCAGTGCAAATGCTTCCCAGTCGTCCATCGACTGGCCTTGTGTCTCCCAGATAAGAGGCGTGTAACCGGTCCCGTTCTCCTCAATGGCAACTTGCAACGAGCCGTTAAACGATCCGTACAAGTAGAAAGAGAAACGCATCTACACAACCACAACCAGAAGGTGTTTCAGAAATGACTTACAATAACAAAAGAAACAGGAAATAAATGTATGTAAAACTTTACGAGTGTTTGGATGCACTGACCTGGCATGCAGACGTAGAGATCGGCGGAGGGAAGAAGGAGCTCTGAAAGGACGCTTCTTTAAAGGAACTACTCTCTCTAACCTGCAGGTACATGAAGTGTCCTGCAGACATACAAGAAAATGTCACAATGTGAAATCTTTGCCATTTATTCATTCATTTGCTTAAAGAATCTAAAAGCCAAAGGCAACCAAAGAGCTGCACAGTTCAATCAAAAAATACAAACGCTACAAAAACACAAAATTGTAACCAAGTATTTTTGAACTAATTTATACCGCAAATATCTTGAAATAAGACTAACTAACTTAAAAGTAGGTTCAGGCAAGATATAGAGGATTGTTTTGAGAAAATAATTCCTTACTTTGGATGAAAATGTACTTGTTCAGATTACTTCACTTACAACTTGCCATGTTATAAGTTAATTTGTCTGCCAGTGGAACTTTTTCATCAATAATAAATTATTTACTTAAAACAAGACTTTTTATCTTGCTGAAAAGTTGCTTTTAAGTTAGTTTATCTTATTTCAACTGTATTGAGATATTTGCACTAGAAATTAGACCAAAAAATACTTGGTTAAGAGTTTGTGTTTTTGCAGTGTTGACAATAAACAATCACCAAAAAAGTAAAAGAGTCAAGGATTACCCAGAATGAATTACTTATTTAATTATTGCTGTTATTATTTTTAACATGTATATTAATGTTTCTAAATAGACATGAATCAAATATGAAATGCAAAAGAAAGAAAGTTTGTCCTCTTTTTATACCTTGCAGCTTGAGTTAAGCATTAGATAAATCAAGAAAAAAAAGTTAAAACTTGTCAAAGAAATGTATTGTCTTCTGACAAAAAGAGGAATGAACGGTGCAGAGGAATTTGGGTCATTTTTGACTGATTTCCTCAGCGCGATGATTCGTTTTAATAGCAGACGCACACCAGAGTAGTCCTAAAATCAAGCTGTAAATCACATACGCAGAACACACACACACACACCTGGTGTGCGCTGGAGAGTGACGCCCTGCATGTCTTGTTTCTGCAGAAGCTCATCTCCAGCGACTCTCCTCCATCCCGAGTGCTGACTGGACCCGGACCAACCGCATGAATCTGACTCAAAGGAGCAGTACGAGCCAAAGGGAAGAGCATCTGCCAGGGAAGCAGATTATTATATTTCACCGAGACGCTGCACACAGCTGCAAGAACATCTACAGCACAAGATACAGTTTTACTAACGCAACTAAATCTAAGTAGGAGTTTTTGCCAGACAGGCAAAACTAAATAAGTATTGCTGCAACTATTTTTACCTGCTTGACAATAAACCATGGATAATTTTCTGTAGAAGAGTCATTTATCAATAACTGCAAATCTAAGATATAAAAGAAATCTTGAACGTTTGCCTCATAAAAAAAAAAAATCAATACATCTCTGGAAAGAACTAAGAGCCCGCTGCACTGATCCCCATTGAAAACCTCCTGGTTATTCCACCAAATATTGATTTCTGAACTTTTCCTGAGTTCAAACATTAGACTTATTGTTTCTAACTGAATATTTTATTTGCATTATTTGAGGTCTGAAAGCATTGCATCTTTTTTGTTATTTTGACCATTTTTCATTTTCTGCAGTTAATTTTACTGAAACATTTACCAATAAAGAGCAAAATCAGATAAACTGATCATTTTAAGTGGTCTCTTAGTTTTTCCAGAGCTGTTGCTGCATTTCCATTGACCATATAATTACTTATATTTGCACAATTTAACATTTTGAAATTAAATTTGCTTGATGAAAACAGGGCAAAAAGTTTTGGGGTTCAGATAATGGTTTAGAAATTGGTTTATTTTGTAAAACTGGAGTAGAAAAACTTTATTCACATGATCAACAACCAGATGTTGCCACTGGCAAAACCCACGAAGAAGCATTTTTTATTAAATGAAACACCAAAATTGTGAAATGTTTTGACGTGAGTAGAATATTCTCATACTTTTACTTTAATGTAAAATGTTCTGAAATGTTTTGTATCAATTAAATTTTTTTATCGACAAGAACAGAATAGAAAGGCGTTTTTTTTTTTAAATGAATGGGCGCACTCAATTCTGCTTTAGAGAAAAAAGTTGTTGAATATTTGTTGTCTTATTTATAAGCAAATAGCACATCTAGTATTTAATTACAGGTCTGTCCAAAGTACAACCACATGGCCATTTCAGCTCCTTTATTGAGTTTGAGGCTCCTGACAGCAATTAAAACATCCTACAAATGTTGTGCACTGCTTTTGTTGAGTTAATTAAACTTGGTTAAAGATAGCGAGAACTTCTAAAGAAAGAGCAACGCGAATCCTGTAATCAGTGCTGAAAATAAACATAATTTTTGTAACAAGGTACAACAGTTTTTATCAAACCGAAAGCCTTTCTCTTAAATAAAAAAAAAAACTATTTTTAAGTTTTGGCACTATGATGGGTTACAAAACCCTTTCATACAAAAAAGTTTTTGACTATTTTTATTTAATTAAAATATGGTAAACTTAGTTTGCTATTGGACAGGTAAAATATTTGCATGTTTTTGGCTTCATTTTCAACTTACAAGTCATGAAAAAAAAATTAAAAAGGAAACTGTAAGACCCACACATACAGTAATTAAATCTAACAGGCAGCTAAAATAAAACAGTTATCGGTAGATAATGAAACCAGTGATTACACGAAGATTAGAAACTGCATATTCTCTATGTGTTTTTAATGTTCTGTCTTGTATGTTTTTTTTATTATTTAATTTACTGTTGTTTGCAAAAAAGAGGACTCTGTATTGATGAACAATTTGAATGACACAATTATAGAAAAGGCTGGCTGCCATTGTTTGTTTGCCAGATGGTGCAGGCTAAAAAAAACTTAACAGTCCTAAAATAAGCATTCAATCTAAAAAACAAACACACACAAAGAAAGAACTTCAATTCACATCAGAGGCCCATGACATTGCATTATTTTTTAGTGTTTTGTAAGCGTTCGTCTTAAACAGCATGGTCTGTTTTAAACAAACAAATAACACTTTCCATTTTATAAAAATGAAATTTAATTTGCTCTGAATCTCATTTGAAAGGCCCCCCGTTGCTTGAAATTTTACCTAAAATGAATTCACAGGCACACCTCGTACTTTTCTCAAATTATGGTCACTTAAAATAAAGTTTTATGTGAGACATGCATGGATATAACTCTGGGAGAGATGAGGTAGTAGAGTGAGAGGGAGTTTCCATTTTAAATGGAGATCAAAGCATTTGCATCAGCCATCTGGGATCATTATATTATTATTGGTGCACAACCTAAAGGAGTAATGCTGCTCTTAGATCATCAGAAACATCAGGGGCGTTTGGTCTGCAATCAAAACAGAGAAGTGACTTCAGTAATCTTGTAAATATGGGTGGGATTAATTTCAGCAGATTAATTACATAGATTTTAAATTTAGCAGTAGTTAATTGCTGTTTTTCCCCAAGATGGAACCTTTGTTGAGTGTTTCTGGTATGCCGGTAAATCTGACGGACAAGTTTCGTACGCAAAGCCGTGGCTGAAAAAGTCGTTCATGTGAAGCTATTCAAGCCTAAAATAGCATCTCAATGCTAACCATATTGTAGCAGCACAAATTAATCCACATTTCTAAATAAATTATTTTAAATTAAGTTAAAATGGATTGTCAACATTCAAAAACAGAAAACTGCATCAATCTGATGGTTGAATAATAAAAACTATATTAGTTGATACACTCACATGTCCATTCATTCAATAATTTTGCAGTAAAAAGCTTTTTTGATTCAAATATATGGTGTTCCATTAAAATTTGATGAACTTAAAAGGTTAAAACTAAATCTATTTGTTGCTCAGCTCATGTGTCTATTCAATAATTTAGCAGCAAAAAGGATTTAAATTTTAAAGCTTTTTTTTGTCAAGAAATGGTTTTCAGTTAATGCAATTAATTTTGATTAAGAATTACAAACCTTGCAATTAACTCACTTAAAATTTTAAATCAAGTTTTACTCTATTATTAATGCTCATGCTGTCAATTGTTCTAATGTATTCTTTTCTCGGCTGGACATTTTTTTGAATCTCAGTAAGCTATTTTTATTAACAGCACAATGTAATTTGTATGCTGTTAATTTGCCTTTCCTGTCTTTCCTGTATTTTTACATTTGTGTGAATCCATATGCTTTGGCTTTTCTTTCACTTTGCTGATGAAACAATTCAAATTTCCCCTTGAGGAATAATAAAGGTAATTTCTAATGTACTCTTGGGTACTCTTTGACCTCTGTAGGTGTGGGTGAAGGTGGGATATTCAACAAGTTTAGGATATAGTAGGGGTGCACTGATTGCATTTTTACGGCTGATTACAGATCTTTTAAAAAGCCTGACCTGTTGATTTTGACCAGTAACGATATTTTTTTTTGTCTGAAATGTCATTCAATATAGCAAGAAATAATAATAAAAAATAAAAATTAATATTATAATTAACCTGGTTTATCAGTCAAACCTTTTTGACAGGAGAACAAAAGAGGACAGTGGTTAATTTTTAGTGTTTTGTCAAGGTAGATAAAATTGGTGGATAAGATCAGCTTCACATGTAAACATCGGTCAATCACAGATCTACCCAAATTAAGAAAATCGAAATAATCCAAAATATAGAAATAGTCAAATTAGCAAATATTTTTAACAGAAAACATATCAATCTTACAATAATAGAAAAAGTAGAAAGTAGCTGCTTAGCATCTTATTTTTCTGTTGCTTGCGGAAATCTTGACAAAAAAATATTCTCTTCTGATTTATCTTAAAATGAAATCAACAAAACAAACCCTTTACCTGCCTTTTCGCCTGGAAAAGGTGGCTTAGAGTCAGTAATGAAAAGCAGGAAGTAAAATAAATTTGTGAGCCCTGTGAAAGGATTGGCGCCGCACTGTGACCCAGCTCCTTCCCTCTGGGACAAACAACTCAAGGAGCTCTGAGTGCTTTGACTTCATTACTTTGTTTTGAGTCGCAGCAGGGTGAAGAGGTTTCTTTATGCGGGATTATTGATGTTTTCGAATTTAAGAGTTGGCATATTTCTGAGCAGGAGGTAAAAAGTGCAATGAATCTTTAGGAAAGTTGTTTTGAAACTCCTAGGAGTTCAATATCTTAATATTAGGGAATGCTAACTAATCATAATTAGCTTTATTTTTGTGCATACAAACAAGATTGTATTTCTATTAATTTAAAATATGTATAGAGAAAAATTTCTGGAGTGTTTTTACCCTAGTTTCTAGTGCAAATATCTTAGTAGATTTGAAAGAAGGCACAGTTAACTTACAAGTAAGTTTTCAGCAAGATGTAGAAGCTTGTTTAAAGTCTTTTAAATTGATCAAAAAGTACTTATTCCATTGGCAGATGATTTCACTTACAACAAGAGAAAAATGTCTTCTTATAAGTAAAATAATCTCCCAAACAGTATTTTTCATCTATATCAAGAAATTATTGACATAAAATGAGCTCCAATTTTTGGCTGGAAAGTTAATTATAAGTTAGTTTTCTCTTATTTCTCGTGTACCAAGGTGTATGCACTAGAACTAGACATAAAATACTTTTTTGTGTTTTTGTAAGAAAGAATCTTTATGCAGTATTTCAAGACTTAGGATCCGTTTAAATCAGTGGTGTCCAAACATTTTGTCACATGGTGCAAATCTAATTTCTAAAATAATTGAAAATCACAAATAACTTATGTATCAATCAATTAAGTGTATCTGTATAACACATTTCAGCAACATGTCCTTTACATCATAAAAAAAAAAAAATACATAGTACAAATGCAAAATGTAGACCTTTTTTATAAACAAAGTATGGTAATTTAACAAAACAAATAAAATAGATGTTTTTTAAAGAATGAGATATGTCATATTATTGTGCATAGCCAACATTTTTAAAAAGGATTTTTGCCTGAAAGAAAACAGAAAGAAAACAAATTCAGCCATAAGAACAGAATCACTTTTTGTATTATGTTTTGTGTATTTAGTCAAGTTTAATTAATTAAAAGCAGATTTGGGTAAAAGTCACTAAATAAATGTGTTACTATTTACTATAAATTTAAAAGGAAAGGTTATTAAAATATAAATACTTTGCATTTCAACAATTTTTTTCTAACAAAAGATTTGAATTTGTTTGCAATAATTTCAAACTAATAAAAACAATATTTTTTTAATTGTAGTTGGTGGCAACAAAAGAATCAGTCCAGGGGCCACATATGGCCCCCGGCCCGCAGTTTGTTTGGAAACTCAGGATAAGTCTTGTGAAAGCTGTTGAGGCATAGAGAGTCAGAAAGTGGCGCTCACCACAGATCAATCCCTCGTCTTCTCCTAGTGGACAATCGGTGTGGAAGTTACACACTTGGCTCTGATCGATGCAAACATCCGAGTTTACGCAGTGGAAAGATTTCCCACACATGAGATTCAGGTCCATGGCCTCATCACCTGCAGTCACACAACAACTCCATGATTACTCAGCTTTCAGGACAAACAAGGAAAACTTTCAGTCGGTAAATGTGATCTAAAATACAAGTGCTAAAACTCACCATTAAGATTATTTTTGACCACATTTTATTCAATTTTAAGCTGTAATAGAGTTAAGCTGTAAAAGTGTTTGCATTTGGAAGAGGTGTTAGTTCTTCACACCAGATGAATAGACTTAAAGCTACGTCATGTAACTTTGATCAAAAAATGTTTTTTTATATATATTTATTGACATTGTCACCATGTCGTGACAGTATTTGTATGAGACAAATAATCTCTGTGCTAATATTGCGGTCTGCAAAAATACACCCAGTCAAAAACAACCAATCAGAGCCGGGAGGCGGGACGTAGTGCTGTTAATCACCTTCCTGTTTGCTGCTCAATGTGCAAACAGTGGAAAAACATTAAATGCTATGCTTCCTAGCATTCGCATTTACGGATGCAGCAAAGCAGAAAGGAAGAGAAGGGGGAGAGCATTGGCAGCGCTAAGACTGTCCTCGTAATTCTGATTGGTTATTTCTGATTGAGTGGCGTATTTCCCAGTTTGTACTGGGAGTACTGGGAGAAGACATAATGATAAATATATGATGATGTGATGATAATTTTAGTAATTATGTTTTATAAAAGTTACATACTGCATCTTTAAATCATTCCCATTTTTTCCGATGAATAATAAAATGTTCTTTCTAAATACTTGAGAATAGTTATACAGTTTAAGACATAAAGTCGCTCTGCAGGTGTTTTTGTCTTGACAACACAGCAAAAGATTAACAGACTGAACTCTGGAGGTCAGGTTAGGCTTTAAGATATACACAAACAATTCAAAGCAGCGTCTCAAATTCAGCCAGCGATCCAGATCTGGACCCGACAGCGAGGAAATATAACCCCTGGCAACAAGATTTTAGAGCAGTGATGTGAAGCAGATGTTTAAAGAAACTGGGCATGGAATATCCTGTCGACTGGGGAACTTGAAGAATTTGGTAATTTGTGGATTTGATCTTTCAAGTGAGGGTAACACTCAAGGTAAAAGAGAGATTTGGAGGTTTTAATTTGATATTTGAGCACCAGATGATTTGCAAAAACACAAAATCTTACCAAGTAACTTTGGTATAGATTAGTGTAACTATTTTAGTACACTTCAAATAAGACAAAACTAGCTTACAAGAAACTTTTCAGCAAAATATAGAAGCTTTTCTAAGTAAATAATTCCTTAAAATTGATGAGAAAGTACTAGTTCCACTTATGACATTGGAAAAATCCTATATTTTCCTGAAGATTCTGTGTTTTTGGAGCAAGGGAGACAAAATAAGCAAAAAGACTGTAAGAATTTATGTTGAAGTCATTTCAACATACATGTTGTAGGGACACGTTGATGGAAAAAAATTAAGAGACCACTTAAAATGATCAGTTTCTTTTTATCAGTTTATGTTTGAGTTAAATGAACATTGTTCTTTTATTCTATGAACTACTGACAACATGTATCCGAAATTCAAAGCAAATACTTTGTTTTTGCAGAAAATGAGAAATGGTCAAAATAACAAAAAAATACAGAGCTTCCAGACCTCAAATAATGCAAAGAAAACAAGTTCATATTCATTAAGAAACAATAATACCAATGTTTGAACTCAAGAAGAGCTCAGAAATCAATATTTGCTCAGAAATCAATCACAGCTTCATAACCAGGAGGTTTTCAATGGGGCTCTTAATTTATTTTTTTCAGAAATCTACATTTCCCAGCCTTTAAATAGTGAAAATAAACTTAATTGATGCCTAATAATGTATATTTGCTGTTTGAACCATTAAATTAAGCTGCTAAAACTGTTTTTAGAGGATGACACAAGTATTTGTGCCAGAACTAAACTGTGAGTTTAAATGAGCTGGAAAAAGAAAACTATAAGTAATTATGTTTTATAAACATTTTGAACAAACGAAAACTGAGCTTTAGAATAAACACAACTCACCTGAGCCACAGTCGATGAAATCCAGGGAGTCCAAAGCCACAGTGACTTCACCTTCACCCACACAGGCAGTGTAGAGGAGGGTCACTTGAATCGGTTCATCCATCTGACCAATCACAGCTTCATAAACCTGCCATTCATTCCTGGTCAAAGGATAACAACAAAAGGTTTTTAGCTATTCGTGTCTGGAAACTTCTGTGAAGTTGAAAACATAAAAAAATATAGTCCTGTTTTCAATCAGTTAGGATTACGAACATTTACTATGCGACAGAATAATAATCTTTCTTAGTTGTTTTCTCAATAGTTTGCTGGAGTCTTTAATAAACAGACATGAAGGAAGAACTGGGAAACTGTCTGAATAACGCTAAAAGAACCAGTAGACAGCAATGCAAAAAGGAAGCTACACTGCAAAAATGACAAAATATTGCCAAGGATTGTCTAGTTTCTAGTGCAAATACCTTAAGACACTTGAAATAAGACAAAATCAACTTACAAGTTACTTCTCAGCAAGACATAGGAGTTTAAATAATTCTTTATTTAATTTTAATGAAAAAGTACTTCTTGTACTGGCAGACCAGAAAAACTCTGTAAAATTGTGTTTTAACAGTTAGAAAATGGAAGAAGTGGAGAATGAGATGGGAACCAGAAGAGCTAATCACAGGTGAGTGGAGGCACCTGGGGAGGAAAGCTGGCAGAGATTTTAAGGAGATGAGCAGCAACTGCGCTGAGATAAAGAGGAAATATAAACAAAAGGAAAACCCTAAAACTAACATCAACAGAAAAAAAAGAAATGTTATTCAAAGGAAATCATTTTAAAACTCAAAAAAAAAAAATATTACAAGAAAAAGATTAAATCAACAAGATCAGAACACCCACAACATGATGCTGTCACCACGGTAATTTGTGTGAAGCTTTTTCCACCAAATGTAACACTGATGAGCAAAAATATCAAGATTTTTAAATTGTAATGTTGCTTTTTTAGTGACGGCTTCTTCCTCATTGAGAGGCATTTCAGCCCTCTTTTTATTTTGTCCAATAAGATGTCTGGAAATATTTACCTATTTGAGCAAATCAAAGTGTCACCTTCAGGTTTCTGGAAATTAGTATTTTATCTGATTTCCTTACATTCTTCCATTTACCTCAAATTCTGTGAAATCACATACGTTTAAAAAGTTTCAGTAAGCGACGTCTGCTGGCTTCTCCTGTACAAAATGAATGACGAGCTGAATAAATGAAAACGCTGTGTGTGTTTCATAATGAAATTGCAAAGTCCATTACCGCAGAGATACTAATAAAGCCAGCGAACCGACTTACTGTACATGCCCATCCATCCTCTCTTCTGTCCTCACCAATTACATCTAAATAAATCTCCGGCCCACATCCAGAGACACGAATGCTTTTAGCTGGTCTAAAAATGGCTGCACTTCAGCATCGCATCAATAGGAGATATCTGCCCATGGTTTCCAAACAATACTCAAGGGTCTGTCCGTTGCTCCACAATACCTCAAATTAAATCTTCATTTTCTTAGCTGTGCTAGCATCTGTTGACCTTGCTCTCTCTGGAGGAATCTCACCTTTCATTGTTTGAATCTGGGCGTTGTTTACTTTCATTTTACTAGAAAGCACAAAACAAACTAATGAGCTCAGAACAACATTACTGAGACAAAGACGGACTTGTTCATGGCTACCTGTGGGTGTCTGGTCTCCTCTGGTTGAGAACCTCGGAGTGAATGATCAAATCTGACAGAAGAGGTTTGATCAAGACCGTCAGGTTGCCCAAAGTCGGACCGGACTCATAGAGAGCAACCTGCAGAATGCACTGTTTCTTGCTCCCAGGCAAGACCGGACTTATTATTTGGTGCTCACATTTCTCTGCATCAGACGGACTCAGAAGAAGAAAATGCCCTGAGGGGACAAAACAAAGAAGTATGTATTTTAAACAGGAACTATTATTAAAAATTTACATGTTTTTGTACTTCCATTTGGGTTTCTACGTTGCAAAAATACAAAATTTTACCAACCATTATTGTCTATCTTCTTGAAATAAGACAAAACTACAAAACTTCTCAACAAGATATGGAAGCCTGTTTTACATCAATAATTCCTTAATATTTACGAAACACTCAAAGTAAAAAGAGAGATTTTAATTTTGATGTTTGAGTATCAACTGATTTAGAGTAACTACACTGAAAAAACAAAAAAGTAATCTTGGTCTTGATTAGTGCAAATATTTAGCATACATTAAATAAGACAATTTAACTATTTCAGCAAGACATAGGAGCTTGTTTTTAGACAATAATTCTTTAATATTGATGAAAAAGTACTAGCTCCGTGACATTATTTCACTTATAAAAAAATGTTTTCTATAACATAAATAATATGGCAAAGGAACTAGCACTTTTTTTTATCAGTGTTAAGAAATTATTTACTTAAAATAAGAACCTATGTCTTGCTGAAAATTTATTTTAAGTTAGTTTTGTATTATTTTAAGTGAACTAAGATATTTGTTCTAGAAACTAGACCAAAAATTTTTGGTAAGATTTTGTGTTTTTGCAGTGTGCTGCTTCTAAAAACAACACAATCGCTTAAATAAACTCACCCAGCTGGTTTTTTGGCAACGATTTAATGTTTTTTTGGCATCTGAAAATGAGCTGCTTCAAAAACTTTCCAAACGTAACAACGCGAATCGGCAGGCCCAGCCCGTTACCTAGCAACCACAGTGGAACTCTGTCCTGTTACCTAGCAACCACAGTGGAACTCTGCCCTGTTACCTAGCAACCCCACCAACCCAAGATTTAAAGTGGCAAGAGGCCCTAAATGAAATGAGCTCAAATTGAGACTAAAATAGAATATCTAAGAATAATTATGTACGGAAATGTAATGAACATGTTAGTTCTATCTAAAATTGTTCAAGGAAGAATAATAGACCACCTTTAAAACATGTTAGACCTCACATTTGATCAAACTAAAATGAGTGAAATGCAAATCAATAATTCATCGGTGAGTCTTACCATCAGATTGGCCCAGAGAGTGATCGATTTCAGGCGTCGTCCTGGCCTTAGTGCCTTTGAGCTGCTGAGGTGAAACCACTGACCAGTCGCTGTGAGTGTTGTATGTGAAAGTCCAGTAGCACAACGACTCAAAATCACAAGAGGTAACTGTAACGCAATCAGAGGTTCGTCATCATCAGCATGGAACGCTTTGAACAAACCTTTTATTTGACACGAGGAGTGATTATGCAATGAAAAACTGTGATAAAGATGAAAAAAATAATTATTTTCTACCTGAAACAGAGAATCTAAACCACATGTGTCAAACTAAAGGTGTGGGGGCCAAATCTGGCCCACCGTGGCTTCTTATGTGGCCAGATTACATCAATATGTTCCTTGGGTTTTTCACCAATTTGCAGAATTCACGCAAATTTCACACAAAATGAACAAAGCCTCAAATTTTTTCTGATTTTACTGCAAATTCTTCTCAAAATTGGTCAGAACATTAGATTTAAATCACTATTGCCTCAGCTTTACTTGATGTCAGATTATAGTCTGTAATCAATACGGTGGGGGATTAAAAAGTCACATTTAACATCATCCATTAATGCAAATATCGTTAAAAAAATCCCTTGCAATTTCATTTCTATATTAGCACCACACAATCTGTGATTCTGAATGCAAAACAACACAAAAACAATTTTGTTTAATTTTAAGAAACACTTATTAAATGAAGAAACAAACAGCTATTAATTAATATTTCAACATCTGAATGGGTTTTGTCAAAACAATTTGGTACAACTGCTCCTTTAAGAACATTCAGATTTTTGATATGGCCCAAACTGAAAATGAGTTTGACTCCTGTGATCTAAAGTATTTCGGGTTTGGACAACAATAATAAAGCAGGAGAGGAACAGAATAATTGAGGCAAAGTCTGCAGTTTTATGGGAAATATTTTGGTTTTTTATGGTCAAAAAATAGATAAAAGGGATTTTAAAAACACTTTACAACCCCAAGTGCTAGACAAAAACGTGTTTATTTGAGCCCGTCTGTATAATTCTGACCCTGATTGGTTTGGAGAAAATCTACAATAAATTCAAACTGAAGCATACAGTTTTTTTGTTTGTTTTAAAATTTTTCTCTCTCTTTCATCATTTAGCTTTGGAAAAAGGAAGATTTAAATAATTTATAATCATAAAATTAGTTTTACGTTCATGCCTTTGATCAATGAATGTAAACCTTTGACCAAATATGTAGCTACAGTAAAAAGAAAAAAAGCACAAAAAGCAGAAGCAGTAGCAAAACAGACGTAAAATCTATGTTGGCAAAAGCAAAATAACAAATAAAAACAATTTGGTCCAACTCCACAGTGAGTGGAATACTTTAAAACATCAAAACATGTCAAAACCTCATGCTTAACTAATGTTTTACATAAGATGTGCAGTTTCACTCAGTTTATAGCAGCCAGGAAGACAGGTTGGCTGTAAAGCCTGAGTGATTGTGAGTCTGTGGGGGGCTGATGAACAGGATCAGAGTGAAGAACTCATTCAAGACGTCATGTGATTAATGAAGAGGAAACAGCCACCATAAAACTAATAACACTAAATCTGTCTGGTTCCAAAAAAACAAAACACAGAAATACGAGGCGAATCATTAAACTGTTGCTTCACAGATGCCCTCTGTCAACACTTGAAGCGTCCTAAAAATATCCGTCATCTGATTGAAAGGGTTTCACTCTCTGCTGAACAAATAAGAACCGAAACATTAACTTTTAATTCAGATCATGTATATTTCATTTCGGTTTCTTGTTACTTAATCCCCAGATATGCATTTGGAATTTATTTCAATGTTTTATCTCTTCATTTTATTTATTTATTCTTATAAACATTTGTGGGTCCCTGAATTTCAGGTCCTTTTAATTGCATAAGGCACAAAAACGCCCTTCTGAACACTTTCTTATTTATTTTATTTTATTTTATAAGTTAAAGCCTAAAAATGTTCTGCAGATTTTTCCCCAAATATACAAAATAGACATTATAAGTATTTAATATTAAACAACATATTTAGTTTTTGAAAAGTTGCTAAATGAATATACAGTATTTATGTTGTAAATAACATTGTAAATTTCACTGTTTGACATTAAATCAGAATAAACTGACAGTAATATATATTGAATATATATCCCCATCAGTCCTGGTTTTCAGATGTATTATTCTTATTTTAAATGTAATGATTTCACTGACTATTCGGGGAAAAAAAAATCAGAAATAAAGGCTTTCAAAGATGCATCGGTATGTAAATAATCTATATTATATGTTTTATTTAGTAATTAAGTTCTTGAAATAAATGAACTTTCAATAATATTTAAATTCATTGGATGTGTCTAGCTTCAACACAATCCAAAATATTATGCATGTTGTGGCAAAAAAACATAAAAGATCAAATAGAAATGTGCATAAAAAACAATAAAAAGACATTAATTAGAAACGTCAGAGTCAATATAAAAAAAAAAATAAATAAAAAATATTGATCAAGGAAAATGTAAAATCTACAAGAGAATAAAACAAGAAAAGACTAAAACAGTGCCAGAACTCGAGGTTAAAATGCTCAGATTCACATTCATCTAAATATCTCAAATCATCGTCAAAATATTCAACTGTCTGAACACGTTGAACTTACTTTGGGTGTCATCCTCCAGGTGAGGCAGAAACTCATCAAACGTGTAAGAAAACATCTGCCAGGTGTTGCTTACTGTGAAAAGAAAAACAGAGAGGAATTGATATATTCCACTGTTTTGCTTTGGTTAAAAAGACAAACAACATTCTGCCTGGTTGTAGGAGAAAATACTCAAGTCAGATAAAGGCTGGGGATGGTGCATTGAAAAACATCATTTATTAGCTAAATATATGCACAAACGGACTGAGCGCGAGGTCAGTCTTCCTTCTTCACTTTTTCCATTTCCTTTCATGCAAAACCTTTCATACCCTTCATCTTCAATATTTGTGTATCACTTTATTTTCCTCTGTAAAGTTATATTTAGATTTCCGGTTTAATTGAAGTTCATTTCAGCTCTGCTTTTGGTAGAAAAACCAAAAGATTTCCAAACTGTTGAAACGTACTTGGAAGAGTAAAATATTAATCTCACATATACAAGAATAAAAAATGTTTCAGGAAGTCACATCAAGATTATGAATGTTCTCAATATGGCCTTTAGTGGCTAAATGTACTAATAAGATTACATATTAAGCTGTTAAAATATGAATAAACAGCTTTCTCTGCATTTTATGAGTACTTGGGTGTCCAAAGTGTGGTCCGAGGGCCATTTGTGGGCCTTGGAATGAGTGTGTGTGGCCCCTGAAAAATATTTCACATTTGGCCTGAAACATATGGAGCCGAAGCTGATGAGATCGACACTTTTTAAAGCTGTTTTAGGTTTACATCTGTTACAAGTTTACATCTTACAACATGAATAATTTTTCTTTCATTAGCAGATGATAGCATGACGTCACGCCTCAAACATCCAACAACTTTTCACTCAGAAACAAAAGGTTTTAAAAGAAAATTCTCATTTTTTTACAGCTGGAAATGAACAAAAAACAATTTAAAGAAAATATTTGGCTCAAAAAGTTAAATAAATGTAAATTTCATACTAATGTTGGTTTCAGTAAAAATAAAGAATAAAAATTTACTTTTTCAATTTATTGTTGTGCAGGTAAGGGAGAAAGAATTTATATCAATATGATTTTTGCATGTTTTAATGGAGAGAAAAGGCTAATTTTCAAGATTTTTAAGTTGGGCATTTTGGCCCTTGATAAAAAAGTTTGGACTTTTATTTTAAATACTGTATTTAACTGTCTTAAAGTTAAATACTGTATTTTCCGGACTATAAGTCACAGTTTTTTTATATAGTTTGGCCGGGGGTGCGACTTATCACTTATGTGTGAAATTATTAAGACATTATTATATCATATCACATGTTTTCACACTAAACCGCAAGAGGGCGCTTTAGGCCTGTATTAATAATGTGTGTGATAGAAGCTACCTTCGGAGTTAGCAGAGTTGTTTACAAGCAACACCGACGATGAAGATTTAGTGATTTGGAGTGACACGGATAATTTGGTAAACTTGTTAGCATGTTATTTATGCTATAGTTATCTGAATAACTCTTAATATATTATGTTAACATACCAGGCACGTTCTCAGTTCGTTATGCGTAATGTAATGTTAGCATACCGTACAATTATTCTGCCTGTTGTTGCCTCTATTTCAATTTTATTGCCTTTCAAGATGACAAGGTGTTGGGTTCTTGGTGTTGGGTTTTATCAAATAAATTCCCCCCAAAAATGCGACTTATACTCAGGTGCGACTTATATATGTCTTTTCCTGCTTTATTATGCATTTTATGGAGTCCGAGCGACCTACAGTCCAGAGCAACTTTAAACAACTTTTCATGTTAACGAAGTTAACTTTTTCTAAAGGCTCTATTTATGTGTCTCTCTTCAGCCTAAAAGGCCAAATAAAAAGTTGAGTCTGAACTAAAATAGACATTTCAGTCTTTTAATGTGCATAAATAGACATGCAAACTAATCTTGCAGACTGAATCCTTCCTACTAGGCTAGGGTTAGGATTCTTAAAATTTATATTTTACCATACATGTTGTTTAGCAAATTATATTCTATAAACCCTCAAAAATGAGAAAAGCTTTGAGCTGCTGACTGAGTGATGGACTGGGCTCTGGACACATGATGTGACTTCGTCATGCAAAGTAGCATGACGAATGGACCAAAGAAGACAGAGAGGATTACATCTCAGTGCCGCTGCCACTTCAATCTGGCACTGATCTCTGAATAGTAGCATGACTGTTTCTCTGCTGCCTGTAAGGCGAAGGTCAAACAAGTCAAGCAGAACAAACTGAGGTTTTCAAGAACAGCGGGTTTCCTTTTTATCCTAATCGCTTAGAGACGTTAATGATAAGGAGGTGAAAGGCGGCCGAGCTATTCATTGACAAATATGGAATGAAAGCTGCCTTACATACTGCTGGCTATCTTAAAAATAAACTGGAAAATTTCAAGGATCTAAAAAAAGCGGGATAAACATTGACAGACTTTTATTGCCATAAAACCCTTTTACAGAGAAGCTGCTCTACAACTTCTTTCTTTTCTAACACTTTCAGTAGACTAAAAAAATATATACATTTATACAAAGATATCATTTACAACACCAACAAATGTGATGAGCACTCAAGGCTTTTAAAAAGTGAACAAACGTCCAGTTCTTTGTTGCTTTTTAAGACCAGAAACACTGTAAAACATCTGAAGGTGGTTTAATTTGAAAATGAAAGTTTACCTGCTGCCTTGCAAATAAAACTTAAGTCAAGGAGAAAATCCTTTTGGTTTTAACTCAGAAATTAAAGTTCACACAGTACATTTAACGTAACCATATAATTATTTCACAATATGTAAGAAAAATATGCCCTCATCTAGTTAAAGAACCACATTTATCTATTATTTTTATTCACAATATCAAGTTAAATTATCAAAAGATTATGCCCCTTATTTTAATTTATAATAATTTAAATTCTTGTTTTGAACTGCATAAACAACATTTCTGATAAGTTTTATTAAACATCACAGGGAATTCATGCAAAGGGCATTAAAATAAACAAGTCAGATCAATGTAGCACATTTAGGCTCAAAATCTAAAAACTCACTAAATTTATTTGACTTTAAAGAGAAGATGGTAGACAACTAAATGTTGCTCAAAGAGTAAATGTTGCAGTTCGTTGTTTAAAGGTAGAGCTAAAACTAAAAAACTTCTAATAATATTCCACTTCCTTGTTCTGTTTGCCATTTGTTCTTTAAAAGGTAGGACTGTCTGAATAGCTTCAACAATTTCATTCAGCTGTGAAAGGACAGATTCACAACCTCTGTGTGTCTTACACATCCCCTAATTAATCAAATCCACTTTCTCTACACACGTAAGTGGCAAATAGATATAAACACAGATGTGTTTTCAGCTGAATGATGCAGAAAGAACAAAAAATCGAAAGATCATGCGATGACTACTCACGTTCCCAGCTCGCTCGCATGTATCTTTTTTGAGCTACAACATTTGATTCATTCATCACTGCAAAAACACGAAATGTTACTAAGTATTCCTGTTCCAGTTTCTAGTGAAAATATCTTACCTGAAATTAGACAAAACCAACCTATAAGTAACTATTCAGCTCGATATAGGAGATTGTTTTAAGTGAATAATTCCTTAAAATTGCAGAGAAAGTGCTATTATCATTTAAGCAATCGGCATGTACTACACTGCGAAAGCACAAAATCTTACCAAATATTTTTGGATTTGTTTCTAGTTTTAAATAAGACAAAACTACAAAACATCTCAGCTATAGAGGAGCTTGTTTTAAGTCCTTAACTCCTTACAACTGATGAAAAAGTATTTGTTTCATTGGCAGATTATGTCACTTATAAAATGCGAAAAATGTCTTGTAGTAAGTGAAATAATTTGCCATTGGAACAAGTACTTTTTATGAACTAAAAAGTACGTTTTAGTTCTTTAAGAAGTACTTTTTAATGAACTAAAGGAACTAGTTATTGTTGAAAAGTTATTTTTGTCTTATTATAAGTGTACTAAGATATTTGCACTGTAAACTAGACATAAAAACTTGGTAAGACTTTATTTTGATGGGGTTTTCTCAGCTTCAGTTGAAACTTGTTCTGTTATTCTGCATCTATAATATATGAAGGAGGATTAAAAACATTGTAGATAAAAGAAAGAATATATTTTTACCAAACAGTTTAGAAAATATAATCTAAACTAGTTTCACTTGTACTTTTTCATAAACACTAAGGAATTATTGACTTAAACCAGCTTATTTCTTGCTAAAAAAGTTAGTTTTGCCTTATTTCAAGTGTACAAAGATATTTGAAAGTTTGTGTTTTTGCAGTGCTGCAATTTTATAATTTTTCACTGCCATTTGCTTTTTTGAAGGCAACCCATCCTACCATGAGTCAGGACTTAAACATAAAATGCTTGAATTCCTCTGCTTGAAGCATATACTGACTCCCTAAAGAGCAAACAATGGCCTTAGACGAAGAGGAGCTCACTCTCCACCCAGCATCTTCACGCTCAAAAGGCCACGATTCATTTTTTCCACCATATACCATCTAAAATCTGTTCCTTTCGCTCATCCTTTCTGCTGACATTTCACGGCCACAGCAGGGTTACATTGACTCAGAAAGTAGTTTTCCCACTCTGATGGAAACCATAAAGGGTTTTAAACTGCCTATGTTTTTTTTATAAAACTGTTTGTTTACTTTCTACCTGTGGTCCAGATGTCTAAAGTATTACAGTTTCTGATAGAGAAACAGCAGTTTAGTCCTTAAAGATGAAGAGTTTCAGGATTTATGTGTCTATCTATATAGATATATGCATACATATCTATACATACATATCTATACATATATATAAATATATAAAAAAATAAAATAAAATTCCCTTCTCAGTATCTTGACTGTGCCAAGGACTGAACATTTCTGGACTGAGATGTCTGATGTTGTTCCTGGGATCTGTTGTAGCCACTGCTCCAGTTTGGGGGTTACTGCCCCGAGGGCCCCGATGACCACAGGCACCACTGTGGTCTTCACCTTCCAGGCCCTCTCCAGTTCTTCCCTGAGGCCCTGGTATTTCTCCAGTTTCTCGTGCTCCTTTTTCCTGATGTTGCAATCACTTGGTATTGCTACATCTACCACAACGGCTTTCCTCTGTTGTTTATCCACTACGACAATGTCTGGTTGGTTCGCCATTACCATTTTGTCTGTCTGGATCTGGAAGTCCCACAGGATCTTAGCTCTGGCGTTCTCCACCACCTTTGATCTCGGGGTTTCCAGTCCATATTCTGCACAGATGTTTCTGTACACTATGCCTGCCACTTGGTTATGTCGTTCCATGTATGCTTTCCCTGCCAGTATCTTGCACCCTGCTGTTATGTGCTGGACTGTCTCAGGGGCCTCCTTGCACAACCTACACCTTGGGTCTTGTCTGGTGTGGTAGATCTGGGCCTCTATTGCTCTGGTGTTTAGGGCCTGTTCCTGGGCGGCCAGGATGAGAGCCTCTGTGCTGTCCTTGAGTCCAGCTTTTTCCAGCCATTGATAGGATTAATTGATATCAGCCACTTGGGTTATTTGCTGGTGGTACATCCCATGTTGGGGCTTGTCCTCCCATGATGGTATCTCTGGCACCTCAACCTCCGTTCCCTGTTGTCTGAGACATTCACTGAGCACATTGTCTGTTGAGGCTTTGTCCCTGATGTATTTATGGATCTTAGTTGTTTCGTCCTGGACAGTGGTTCTCACACTCACTGATCCTCTGCCTCCTTTCTTGGCTCGTGTACAGTCTCAGGGTGCTGGATTTGGGATGGAACCCTCCATGCATGGTTAGTAGCTTTCTAGTCTTAATATCTGTGGCTTTCATCTCCTCCTTTGGCCAGCTAATTATTCCAGCAGGGTATCTGATTACTGGCAGGGCATAGCTGTTTATTGCATGGATTTTGTTCTTGCCATTGAGCTGGCTTCTCAGGACTTGCCTTATTCGTTGGAGGTATTTAGCTGTGGCTCCTTTCCTTGTGGCCTCATCGAGGTTGCCATTTGCTTGTGGTATACCTAGGTACTTGTAGCTGTCCTCTATGTCTGCTATGTTTCCTTGTGGGAGTGAGACTCCTTCTGTGCGGATCACCTTCCCCCTCTTTGTGATCAGCCGACCACACTTCTCTAGTCCGAATGACATCCCAATGTCCGTGCTGTAGATCCTGGTGGTGTGGATCAGTGAGTCGATGTCTCGCTCACTCTTGGCATATAGCTTAATGTCATTCATGTATAGAAGGTGACTGATGTTGGCCCCATTTTTGAGTCGATATCCATAGCCAGTCTTGTTGATAATTTGGCTGAGGGGGTTCAGGCCTATGCAGAACAGTAGCGGGGACAGAGCATCTCCTTGATATATGCCACATTTGATGGACACTTGTGCAAGTGGTTTGCAGTTGGCTTCAAGGGTGGTTTTCCACAGCCTCATCGAGTTTGCAATGAAGGCTCTCAGAATCCTGTTGATGTTATACATCTCTAGGCATTCAATGATCCAAGTATGCGGCATTGAGTCATAGGCTTTCTTGTAATCAATTCAAGCCGTGCACAGGTTGGTGTGTCAGGTTTTGCAGTCTCGGGCAACTGTGCGGTCTACGAGGAGTTGGTGTTTGGCTCCTCTGCTATTGTTGATCCTATATAAGGGAATGGTGAACACAGACACAGGAATGGTGAACACAGACACAGACACATCGTTACTTCTTTCACTTCCAGTGTTGTAATGTATTTTCAAGAACAGTTTCAAACATTACATAACCACATACTGAGTGCTGAACATTGTACAGAAACATTATGGTTATCGCCATAAAGTAATAAGAAATGTAGCACCGGCTGTTGCTAGCCAGAAAGCTAATGCGAGTGTAACGCTTAATAAAACTCAAACTACTGCAAAGAACTCAAAGACTGCTCATTCGGCAAACAGAATAAACTTAAATACATGTCTGAACCTTATAAGTTGTAATTTTACCTGTATAAGGGAATGGTGAACACAGACACGGCGTTACTTCTTTCACTTCCAGTGTTGTAATGGAGGAACAGAAGTAACGCATTCCACTACCCCGAATCAGACGAGACCAATCGAGACACGATCAGACATGATCAGTAAACAGACAAAACTAATCGAGGCATGATCTGTAAATAAACTCTCAAAATTTTAGATTTGATATTAATAACATTAAATGCGTATTATACCCTGCAACACTATTTACACCGATACCCTTCTGTGCCGTGCTCATGTGTTTATCCATGTGTTTGCTTACCTTGGCCGCTATGATGCCTGACATGAGCTTCCAGGTTGTGGAGAGGCAGGTTATTGGTCGGTAGTTGGGTGAGACTGGACCCTTTCATGGACCCTTCTGGATTAGGATTGTCCGTCCTTCAGTTAACCATTCAGGGTGAATCCCACTTTGTAGCAGCTGGTTCATTTGGGCTGCCAGTCGCTCATGGAGAGCAGTGAGTTTCTTTAGCCAGTAGGCATGGATCATGTCAGGCCCTGGTGCTGTCCAGTTTTTCATACCTGAGACTCTTTCTTCAACATCTGTCACAGTGATGGTTACCGGGGCTTGCTCAGGGAGGTTGCTGTGGTCCTCTCGTAGAGAGATCAGCCACTGTGCATTGCTGTTGTGGGACGCCTCCCTTTCCCATATGCCTTTCCAGTATTGTTCAGTCTCCAGCCTTGGTGGGTCTGCTCTGTTGTTATTACCCTGCCATTGAGAGTACACCTTAGCTGGTGAGTGGAGAAGAGCCGGTTAATCCTTCTGGATTCATTCTCCCTTGTGTATCTCTTTAGGCAGCTGGCCAAGGCTTGGAGCCTCTGTTTGGCAGTTTCAAGTGGTTCAGGTATGGGCATCTGCCTGTACTTTCTGGGTACTGGTCTTTTCATTGTACCCTTGTGGAGCTCTGACAGTTGGCTCACTTCCCTCCTTGTTACCTTGATTTTAGCCTCTAACCGTCTTTTCCATGGTGGGTATTGGGTCTCATGGTTGCTCTTATAGCCAAGTATCTCAAGGATCACTATATATATATATATATATTTGGCCATTATTGTTAAACTTAATGTTGATGTGTTTTTATTACAGGCGTGTCTATGGGACAGTTATGTATCGGTTCAACACGGGACGCATATTTAACGGCCAAATATGGGACGACTCCCTATTTCACGGGATGGGCGGCGATCCTATTCAGGGTTGCTGAGATACAGTTTTAAGGGCGCTGGAGCGGAAAACCACAAACGCAAAAGTTCAATCACATAGAAATCTACTGTTAATCTCTTCATGTTAAATAAATAAAAAGTATGACTTAATATTGAAGTATTTAGTCGTTATTTCAGCTTGACTCATGCAGAACTGATCTGATCGTTTCCATAACAACGATCAGAAGCGAGACCTTGCCTCAGACCTCCAGTGACCTCACTGATGAGGTCATAAGAGAGATCATGTACATCACAATAGATCAAAGAAGTTCTAAAGTTCTAAATGTCTTGCGCGCCAACACTGAGCCCATAAAGTTCTGTCAGACAGTCAAATCAGCAGCAACAAAATGTCGAAGTGCTCCAAGAAATCCATTTTCCGTGCCTTGAGCCACAAGTCTCACTTGACTCCAGCGATGAAGACTTGACTAAAGTACGCGAGGATGACCTGAGTGAATCTGACTCAGAACTGGAGCAGGAAGCCCAGATAATTCCTGTGACAGCGGGGGAAATCAAAGAGATGCAGAGACGGCTCCAAGATTCCTTCGAAGAACAAGAGCTGCTAAGGAAGAAGGTTGAAAAAAATGAGAATTATATTAAATTACTTCAACGGGAACTGAGGAAGGAACACCACAGAGATCAAAGAAAGGTTGAAGATATGTCACCTGAGTCATCTCTCATTCCAGCACCTCCGAAGGACAATGACTCTGTGTGGAACACTTACTGGAAAAAGTTGTCCCATCAATTTGAAGATTACTTTGGAGATCTACTCGTCCAGCCAGAGAACCCAATTGTAAAGAAAGAGGACAAACTGAGTCCTAAGAAGTTAGAAGAGAACATGAAACGGGCGGAACGAGATGCCATTCCGCTACAAAATCTCTGCAATAACCTGGATGCCCTGTGCAATTGGAACTCTCGACACCTGTCTTTATTTTGGTTTGTCACATACCTCTACACAGCGTGGCATGGCTGGACCATCCCCATGTTGCTGCTGCTATTAATTCTCCGCTTTTCTTTGAATTATTTAATTACAAAAGGCTGGAAGATTAACTGGAGCATCGTCCCGGAGCTGACTGAGCCGCTGGGACTTCCAAAGGCACACCCGTCGTTCAGAGAGAAGCTCCATCAGGTTCACAATGTTCTTCATCAAACCCAGAACCTGTTTGGACTGATAGCCGACACCCTCGAGAAGGGAAAAAATCTGTTGATGTGGGTCAAGCCAGACACGACGATGAAGTTCTACATTTTACTGTGGGTGTTCTTTTTCTTTTCGTGCTTTTTACTATATCAGATGATGGGATCAATCTTACTTTTTTCTGCCGGCTTAAAGTTCTTCATCGTTGACTTCATCTTTAACACTTACCCCAACCTAAAGAAGCGTTACGACACCTTCGCAGTTTTCTGGGAAAGGTTACCCGTCGACTCACAGCTGCAAGATCACAAAGACGACAAGCGCCACAGCCTGTTTGCTGCAACAAGGGCTCGACTGAGCAGCTTCACTGCTGCTCATTTCAGAAACGTTGGCAGCCCGTTCCATTTCATGAAAAAGAAAAGACCATTTCATGAAATGTTTAACATCCCAGAGACTGAGCAACCTCTGCCTGAGTTTAAGACCGGCTGGCATTGCTATATGGTGAATAGAGACAGTGGAAAAACATCAAAGGAATTCGGCGGGTATGGAGTTCTCTATGTCACGGAGAATTATTTGTGTTTTAAGAACTCGATAACTAAGTTCCACTCAGCTGTAAAATTGACGGACATCACAGACTTCAAGAGATATAAACTTATACCAGGACTGCCCGGTTCAGGTAGGGGGATGTCAATTGCAACGGCAACCACCAAGAAGCCTCTGTTGTTTACTGCAATGATACACAGCAAACGGGCGTATCAAGCCATCTCCTCCCAGATGAGAAAGGTGTTTGAACAGGCAGCTCTGCAGTGTGCAAATATAGAGTGACTTGCACTCTGGTGCTGCAGCTACTTGGGAGGAGCACCAGGAGGCGACGACTCGGGAGGAGCAACAGAGGCGCCGAGGGAACACTGGGACGACTAGGAGCGACGACTCTTTTTATATATATATATATATATATATATATATATATATATATATATATATATATATATAGATTATATATATATATATACATAGATATATACACACACATACACATATGTGTATATATACATATATGTGCATATATATATACATATGTATATATACACATGTGTATCTATATACGTATATATATGTGTGTATATACATATATATACATTATATATATATATATACATATATACACACACACACATATATATATACTCATATATATATATATGTATATATATACACATATGTGTGTGTGTGTGTATATATATATATATAGACATATATATATCCCATTTGTCATCAATGTGCTTTGGTTCCCCAACACCTGAAGCAGACCTTGTTTGGCCGGGCGACGTCTGAGCCGGCATGTTACGCAACTTAGTATCTCTCATGGTATGAGGTAGGCAGTAGCTTGAAGGGTCTTGCCTAAGGACCCAGACTGGATTCGAACCCCGCCCCGCCAGTCAGCATCACTCAGCCGTTGTAATTGGCGCGGAGGAGGTATATATATATATATATATATATATATATATATATATATATATATATATTTATTTATTTTATTTTTTTTTTTAATTGATCTTTACTTCCAAGTTCTGTGTGAATTAATAACATGTTAGGGTTATTTTTAATTTAGAATATAATGAGAAAGTTGCTTTTCCTGAAACAAAAATCCTCTTCTGCACTATTAAATCTAAAAATTATTCACCAATTTATATCAACTGTATTTATTTTCCTATTAAATAAAAACAATAGCTGTTAGCACGCAAGCTAAGTAGTACAACAAATAATGGTTCTCACCGGCTGAGACTCGATCAAAAGAATCGAATCGCTCATGAATGACTCACCAATACTCTCAACAAGTATTTCTCGACTTCCTCCAATCATATAATCTTTAAGTTATTTGCTTTCCGTCGGTGTCTTCTGCTTTACTTTTGAGTGACCCGGTTTTAAGCCACTCATCTACTGTTTTTTAAACTAGCTAAAAAGGCTAATAAACGACTAATAAACGGTCGTTTACATGCAGTACCGAGCAGACCACTAGGGGCGCCCACGGACCACAGTTTGAGAAAGAATAATGAGTCTGTTCATTAGCCTTGAAACTATAAGAGAGCTCGTAGAAATTCAACACCAAGAAGTTTCTCATTTAAAATATTTTAAAACGTTTTTAAACATAAAGTTGGGCTTAAAATTATTTGTAGTCCTGGCAGATTTAGATTTAAGGTAACTTGTAATTGACTCAAATCTGGCAGAGATAATGTGGAGGGAGCTAAAGGTTAGGACTAAGGTACACCATTGAAAAACCAGTGCAAACATTCAAAAGGTTGACTGCTCTAATAAGAAATAACTTTAAAAAAAAGAAAGTATTTTCAAAAATTAAAGCCACTTCTACATTGTCTTCTTATTTTTGATCAATGCCTGTCTTATTTGCAATCCTAAGCAAACATATTTGTTGAATCAAAGTTTGTTTGAAAAACATGATTATTTGGTGACTTTGTGTGTAATTTCAGCAATCTAGATTTTCTTTATTCAAATATAACATGTTTAGTAATCCTGGCTATTTCTTCTTTTCTTTTCAACCAATTCTTTTGAAACTTTAACAGCAGGCTTTGGTCACTTTAACCATTTTATTGAAGTTAATCAAACCCCATCATCACCCATGTTGGGTTAAATGAACCCTGATTCAGCAAACATTTGACCCAAGAATCAGTTTTCAACCAGTAGTTTTAGAAATTTAGAAAAAAAAAGCTAATCAATAAATATGTAGATTAGCTTATTAGCTTCTTAGGGTAACTGGCTGTTGTCTCTTTATACAGAGATGTAAGAAACAAACTAAAACATTCACAATTTACTCTTTTGTTACATTGACTGCAGATCATAGAAATCATCTCTAAGGATACTTCTTTAACGTTTTAGAAAATTAATGAGTTCCCTCCCCACCACCTTGGACTGGTGATAGCGCACGCTTAGCACTGGTTCTGTCTGTTTTTACAGCTGTAGAAACAAATCTAGAATCCTGAGACTGGTTTTGTTTTGACTCCAAATGTTTGATGGACCAGCCAGAGAAAATAACTACGTTCGACTCCTTATCCTGCACAACAGTCAAAAAATAGCAAAATCCATCATTTATGCACCATCACTTTTAATCTGATAACACCATTTTGTCATGATTCCTTCACTCAGATGTTATTCTTCAAGGTCAGTGCATGGAGTGCTCTGATACTGAAAGTGATATTCAAAAATTTAGTTTTTAATCACTTTTCTATATATCTGTGTTTGTGGCTGCAGAAAGTACAAACCAACAGAAAATAGGTACAAAAATAAAATAATGGACATGTTTTTCTCTGGATGTATTTTCTACAATCTGCTTTGTCGATTCAAAGTAATAATAATGAAAATGGCGAGTCAGCCATAAAGAGGTTTTGCAAATGTTAATGGTTGTTTAAACCATTATTTGTTTATTAAGCTGCCTGTAGTAAAATATCTGAGTTAAATAATGTAATGTGTGCTTTTCTGGTTGACAGTTTTTGGACAGAATATGACCATGCATGCATGTATCAAAGAAAAACTGCTGGTCTGGAGCAGAAAATACAGATATTTAAATGCTGTAAGAATTTCAGTACTTTAGATAGATAGATAGATATAGACAGACAGACAGACAGACAGACAGA